AACTTCAAACAAAGTCATGGGGCCCGTCTGTGCAGATCCCAGTCGGGTGGGGTGGCCCAGCAAAAGGGTGGGACTCCTCACAGGGAGGGAGGAACGCGGCCCAGCCAGCCACCCTTCCCCAGCCTCCAAGGCCCATCTGGAAATCAGAGGGGGCCCAAGTGGCTCAGAGCTCAGGAGCACGGGGCTGGATAATTAATGAATGATAGAAAGCCTTGGAAGCCAACGTGCTCTGTGCCTGCTAAAGTGTAGCAATAGAAAAATAATCATCTTTCTCCATCTTCTTCAGAGAGCCAAGTGGCCTGCTCTTTCTAATCTAAAGTGGGTTCAAGAAACAGCACTGATTTCCACACAGAGGTGCACCCGGTGATCATGCAAACCCATTCGGCGTTCTAAATGCAATTAAGTGCTGACCATCAACCCTGAAAACAAATTACAGCAGCTAATGACAGGGAACGGTAATCAGAATGCTGGAGAAGATTGCTTGGAAACCGCGTTGTCGACAAAGACCACTCCAACACAGCTGTAAACAACTTAAGCCACAGAGTAGCGCAGTGACCCCTGCCCCACGGGACATGAAGACGATGCCCAGCACATTCTGGGGTCCCCACTCACTGCCTCCTAAGCGGCTGCCTCACATTGTTTTAAACCTCCGTCTTTCTGGGTCCTTCTAAATGTGGCAGGAAGCAAGCGCCCTTGAATGTGCGGCTGTTTGTAAGTCTTATCCTGGTTCGCTCCTGGACTCTGGATAAGTCCCCATCCCCCTCTCCTTTGCATTTTTTGTTATCTTTGGCATTCGTTTTTTTGAAAAACATGTGCTCGCTTGGAACAAATCCACTAACGCAAACAACCTGAAAAGTTTCCAAACCGCCCGACGGTTGCGATAGCGGGCATCTCCCAGGGCTGGCAGGGCTCACAGGACGCAGCGGGAGAGGCTCTCGTTAGCTGTAATGGCAACTGACGTCTCCTATCTCCCCTCTCATTCCCCGGAGACTGGTGCAGCTCAAGTCCGTGATAACGCGAGTGGGGGGACCAGGTAGAGGAGGGAAACCAGCACGGGTGGAGGAGGGCTGGAAAAAGAGATCAGGGACACAGTGTCCTCGACTTGCTTCATTAGCAACAGGGGAGGGGAGCAGAGTCTGAGGAGCCGGTTGCTTCTGTGAACTGCCACTTTTCCCAGAAAACCTCAAGTTTGAAACAACTCATTTTACTGCCTGTAAGGGAGGGAGTGAGTGACTGAGTAACTTCTGTTCATTTTTAGGAAAAACAAGCACCAAGAATACACTTTGAAAAGAAACCAGCTGAAGCAGAATTCTTTCTAGAATGTGTATTCCCCTTGCCTCTCCCACCAGACAGCGGCCCAAGAAGGACCATTGAAGCCTCCAATGTCCTCATTACAGCCAAAGGCACAGAGAATGCTGGAGCATAGTCACGCGTGGCACCCGACATTAGGTTATTCTCAAAGTCCTTGGTTCACTTTTAGGGGGACTTGACTGTTAGGCTGGAAAATGCCATGTTTTTTCAATAGTGCCCTGCTTCCCTCATGCTGAGGCTTAGAAATTCCAGCTCGTTGGAGTCTGGGCAGGAACGGGCCCAGCTGGCTGCTGGTGAGGGGCCGTGGGTCCAGTGTGGACCCTCACACATTTTGCTTGCGAGAATCCTGGGATTTTGCCCATTTCGTGACCACTTTCTAGAGCATTGAGTTGACCAGTAAATGGGGTAGCACTGAAATTAATAAGAGATGAATTCACAGCACAGAATTTAGGAATCTGGTGGGGATTCCCATGAGATGCCCAAGGTGTTCATGGCTTCCTCTCTTTTGACTTTTTGGCTCAAAGCTTCCTATTTTCAGGATGATCCAATATGTTAAAACTGATTTCATCTTTCATTCATTTGAAATGAAAATGATTTGAAAATTTGTGCCCATTAGAACTTACACAATTCTATTCGAGAGACCAGGGACACACAGAACCACATTCAGCCACCGACACACTACCCTTTGCTTTCTCTGTCCTTCTCTTTGTATTTGCAAGCTCAGTGTTCTCTTACTTAGAAATTTGCATCCTATATTTAACGTACACGAGCTCGTGATTAGTTTCCTTGTTGCTATATTCTTTATGGTGATTCTTTCAATGCCTACAGACTATTATCATTTATTTAACTATTTTCCCATTATTGGAACTTTGGATTAATTTATCATCATCATCATCATCATCATCATTATTATTTTGCTATTAACAGTAAACCTGCAGTGATGCCTTCCTGAACCCAGCTTCCATTTGGTAAATTTCAGGAAGAAATGACAACTTAGAACCTAGTCTTTAAAAAGGAGAATTTGGGGTGGGTATTGGTAGTTCTTGGTCCTTTCGTAGAGTTTTTGTTTAATGAGAAGAAAACAAAGTGGTTATTTTAAAAACAAAGCAAGGGCTGGGGTGGTGGCTCAGTGGTAGAGCACTTTCCTAGCAAGTGTGAGGAACTGGGTTCGATTCTCAGTACTGCATATAAATAAATGAATAAAATAAACGTCCATCGACAACTTTAAAAAAAAACCCAAGGGGCTGGGGCTGGGGCTGGGGCTCGGGCTGTAGCTCAGTGGTGGAATACCTGCCTCATACGTGTGAGGCACTGGGTTCGATCCTCAGCACCACGTAAAAATAAATAAATAAAGATATTGTGTCCATCTAGCAACTAAAAAATATTGAAAAAGAGAAACACTGTGCCCAGTCTCAAAGAAGGGGAAGGGGGACCCCTGGGCCTGAGTCAGAAGACTATTTTGATTAGAAAAGCGATCTGGCTTCTTTGGAAGAAAGAAGCGGCAGTAAAGGTGATGAAATGATTTCACATACTCCATTAACAGAAGGGTTCAGTCTCCCTAGGGGGTGAGACAAGGGTTGAGGAGCTGAACTGGGGCTTAAGGGCTTGGCACCTTGGATCGGGGAGAGGAGCAGGAGGATTCCCTGGAATGGGAAGGAAGAGGAGTTGCTCAACCTCCGCAGGGAGAGGCCGGGAGGCTGCCTGGGGTCCTGGAGGCTCCTTGAGATACAGTTTTGAGGCGTGGCCTGCTCTGTTGGAGGATGAGGCCCTTTACTCCCAAGAGCCTACAGTAGTGGAGCAAGGTCCCGGAGGTGGTGAGGGGCCACAGCGACCTTGGGGAGCAGGAAGCAGAGGTCAGGGAGGTCAGGGTGAGAGAGGACCAAGAAAACGTGGGGCTCCTGAGAATCCTCACTGGTGCTGGGGAGACCGCTGAGGCACCTCACTACATGCCCAGGTTTATACGGACTTTGAATGAATATGTGGCTGTTAAATGGAATGAAGACTCAAAGCTGGTACACATGGGTCCCCAGGCAGCAGAGGGGGGAGTTACCATGAAGTTATTAGGTTAAGGTCTAGCTATTCCAAGTCCACAGATTAGACGATTGAATCCTAAGTGAAATTTTAACAGTTGTTTCATAAGTCCCAGAATTAATATTTCCAAAAGCAAAGTCAATGCTGGTGTTTTTCTGGTCCCACTTGCATTAGGATTTTGAGAGGCTAACATAGGTACTTTCTTGTAACTATTTTCTGAAAGGCATGTGGATCCGGCTCTGGGAGCCCTCTTCCTGCCACTCACGGGCAGAGCCAAGCCCCGTTGCTCTGGGTAGGCGCTCCTGTGACCCGAGACCTGTGCAAAGGACCCTATTCAAGGAGTGCGCAGGAACCCCTGAGACCCAGGTCCTGGCCGGGAAGCACGTGGCTGGGCTGCCCTTGGACTGGGTCACAGCGGTCACCAGGGCTCTGCCGAGTATTAAATGAGACGGTGTGGGAAGGGCACGGGAATCGCTCTTGATGAAGAGTCAATGACAAGGGACAAGAGAGCGTAGATATGGTTTCTGCCAACTCAGGGACATGCGGGGATGGACACCTGACGAGACAGGCTTTGCCAGAACATTCCAGACTATTTAAAGGATGCAATAGATCTAATAATAGTTGCCATGTACAGAGCATCTAGGATGTGGTAGACACTGCTGTGGGTGCTTAGGTATTATTTCAACGTGTGTAATGGTATACATAATTATATATCATAATTCTAGAAATTCAACTCATTCCAGTTCCCACAGTGAGTGAATGACAAATTTGCACTCAATTTTTCTGAAGTCGAAGCTCATGCTTTTTCTATTACATTAGTTTTTAATCTTTTGGGGTCATGGGCCCCTTTAAGAGTTTCATGAAAGCTGTGGGAAAAAAAAGATATGTTACTATAAAAATGCAAATGTGCATCGAGATGGGAACACAGATACACAAAATCAGCGGGGTTCAGACCCCAGGGCCTCGGCTACCAACGCCATGCTCCCTGACTGACTGCACCACCATGTGACCCTGGAGGTCTTGCAGCCAAATCCATTTTTTTTTTGGGGGGGGCGGGTACTGGGGATTGAACTCAGGGATGCTTAACGATATTGAGCCATATCCCTTTGGTTTAAAATGCTATTTTCTTCTATGAGACCAAAACACCATTAAAAACTGTGCTACAATGAAAATATAGCACAGAACTTAGAAATAACACACAGTTTGCTTCTGAATGCCACCGACTCTAAAAGTTCATTTTAAAGTTTCTGTTTGGAAGTATAGGAATCTGTGGAAATTACTGTAATTGCTTGGGTGTATACTCTTGTTAAACACACTTGGCTGTTACAGAAAGTTTGGAAAATCACAGAATACACAAAGAAGAAAATGGAACGTCACTCTCATGACCTTGAGGTAACCCTTGTCAGCTTTTTGTGAGTGAAGTATCTGATTTTTCCTTGTGTATGAGTGTGTGTGTATGCACACACACAATTAAATGGTTTTAACAGGGAAAGTAATTACATACATTTTCAAGATAACTCTGTTTTCATATGTATTGACTTTTTCTTTAAGATGCATATAAAAAACTATAATAACACCAAGAAGACTAAATAGCACTAATACTAAAACACTATAGTATATGCTAGATAATTTAAGATACAAAGTCATAGCATTAGATCTGCACATGGAAGCTTTTTATTTAATGAAAACAATGTACGAGTGATAACTTCTTGATCCTATTTTGACAATGTTTTCCTCTGCTTGAATCATATGACCACACTCCCTAGGAGTTTGGAAGAAGAAATAAAATAAATTTTATGTGAGTCAGATCACAAGGAAAACAAACAGAGAATTCCAGAAGAATCTGTCGAGTTTCACGCTGTCGTGCTTACGATCCACAGCAAACCTGGGATCAGGCTGGGACAGTCCCGGGGGGCCCCCAGCGCTCTGAAACTCTCCTGCTTTACTTCACTGTGTCTGAAGAATGTTGGTGGTCTCCGGCGAGAACCCAAAGGCAGAGGACAAGCAGTGGACGTCAGGAAACCAGCCCAGGAAAGAAAAAAACAGCATTTCCTTTGTCTACCAGAAAATACCGTTGCTCAGCCGAGACTGAGGCTTTGCTCAGGAAAGCCCATTTCTTGGATCTGAAAGACAAAATATCAAGACTTCCATTTAAAAAACGGTTTCCCTGGCTTAGTTGGCTTTTTGTCACTGCGCCCAAAAGACCAGACAGGAGCAACTTAGAGGAGGAAACGGGTATTTTGGCTCTTGGTTTCAGAGGTTTCGTCCATGGTCGAAGGGGTGGGTTGCTCTGGACCCCAGGTGGGCATCATGGCGGAGGTGTGGAGTAGGACAGCTTCTCCACTCGTGCCGGCCAGGGGGGAAGGAGGAAGGCCAGAGGGAAGACGCTCCCTTCTGGGGACACATCCTCTATGACCCACCTCCTCCAGCCACGCCCCACCTGCCCACGGTTACCACCCAGGATGGACTGATGGGGTCACAGCTCTCAACATCCCTGGATTAACAGAGGAGCTTTGGGGGACACCTCGGATCCAGACCATAACATTCTGTGTGTTTATATGTTTCTATGACACAGATGATATTAATGAGTAGAATATAGTGTACCCACATTTTAAAACTGGGCCTAGGGGGGACAACTAAACGCCCGTGTTTTGGGTCTTAAGTAGATGCTCACGTACCTGTGTACCCAGAGCCTTTTCGGAAGAACAGCACACAAGGAGAGCACTCGGCGGTCACGACTCATCTTCCCTCAGAATCACATCCTCACTGAGTCCTACAGCAATGTCCTTGCCCTCCCTGGGAACCGCTTTCTGGGAATGTCTTTTTGACAGCTGGGATGATTACAGAATGAAGTCTTGTCCACCTGGAGGGCTGTCACCCCACGCCCTTTCCCGTGCTCATGACATGGCTCTTTCCTCCTTCAGTATTCGCTGAGGGCCCCTCTACGCCACCACTGCTCTGAGGACTGTGAAGGAAACAGAGATGACCGTCACAGGGTCCAGGGCTAGACCGTGGCTCCGTGGTGGAGCACTTGCCTAGCAGGTGTGAGGCCCCGGCTTCGATCCCCAGCACTGGGGAACAAAGATGGGGTCCAGATGGTAAAGAAAATTTTCATGGGGTGGGGGCTGGACACAAGACGGTGAATGTTTGGGGGTCACGCTGAAGGTCTGAGCCAGAGCTCTGGAGACAGAGGTCCCCATCCCCACTTTGATGCTCAAAGAAGCCCATGATCACAACGCAGAGCTGGCCTCCAATGCAAGACTTCTCACTTCTGATAACACAAATAAAAAAACAAAAATGCAGTCCACAAAGCTTTGCTGCATGATTGGTTAGGCGTCCTGTGGGTTGAGCAGAGGTCGGCTGAAGCAACTAATGAGACGCAGAGGCAGAGGTATTGAGCTTAAAAATCAATGCATTTGAAAACTTGCTGCAGAGCTCACAGCCGCCGTGCCACAGCACTGGTGACAGACTGAGACCTGCATGCTGTCCTGTCCCTGGTGCCGAACCACAGCAGGTGCTCCATCAGCACAAGGCAAACAAGACCAGTTCTATTTCCATTATTGGGTAGGGATGCCCATTAAATTTGAATGCAGTTAAAGGAGGCTGATTAGAAGTTGATTAGAAGAATGCATACAGATGCACTTGAAGTGAATTCATGAACCTGCACTGTGGATTTGGGATCTGATCTATGAAACCTGGGGTCCTTGCATTTCCTGTTGGTGGCTACCTAGTATCTATGGTATTGAGAGAGCACAACAGTGCAAAGTCCTCAGAGGCAGGAGTGAGATGCACGTTCGAGTCTTGGTTCTACCTTTTGTTGGGGACGGGGGTTGCTGGAGATGGAACCCAGGTCCTCAAGCATGCTAAGCATTTGCTCTGCCACTGAGCTCCACAGTCCTCCTCTACACTTATTAAACCTTGGACAAGGCTCTATTGAACCAGGGATGACTTCCGTAACATAAGAATATTAGCACTACTTTTCAGGGTTGTTGAGAAGGATTAGAGATAAACTATACATAAAGTCCTGTCACATAGTAGGTGCACAACAAATTATTCTTATTATTGCTATTTTCTATTTCGATTTTTTTTTTGGCTGTGTTATACTTCCTGACAGACAGTGATTTTGCTGGAAAGACAGCCCTGCTGGTGAAACCCATGACTATGTTCTGTAGCATATAATTTTCTCAAGTTTTGAATGGTAAAATTAACTATAGAATAATCCCATAGGTATGAATAACTTCAGTTTAGCTGTTTTCTGTGCCTGAAAAAATAATCACCCTTGTTGAAAAATTGATGTCAGAAGAGGGTTAAGGTAACCTATAGAATAATAGGGGTACTGGGTTTAAACAAATCTGTTTATATTTAATTCCCTCCACTTTCAGATACAGAAAACACTTTTATTAGAAAATAATCAGCATGTGGATCTCGTCTTCCCCGGCATCCTCTCGCCCTCACCACGCAGGCCCTCTTGATCTCCACGATTCTTGTAGACTTGGGTTCTTAACAGATAACGATGAGTTTTAAGCCTGGTGGTTACTGCATTCTTCATTCTGTGGGGAAATTGATTTGATGGTAACCATAGATTTTTCAGCTCCAACCTGGGGCAGGGTGGAGAATTTACAGAAACAAAAAATAGATAATGCGGCAAAGTAAAGAATGTCTTTAGAGAGCCCATCATTCCTCCTCCAGAAAGGCAAGCAGGTGCTCGTTTGCTATTATCTTATTTCGTTGGAGACATAAATCCGAATTATAAGATCCGTGGAGGACTCTGCTATCCGACCTTGCGAAGTGGATGCGTGAGCTTTGCAAAGTTTCTGCAGGCTCAGCGCATCCTTCCCCTTCCCTCGGGAATGTTTCATTAGAGGCTTGGGACATGTGAGTTAATGGGGTTCGTGATCCCCATTCTGTTTTTCGTCTAAGCAGGTCTCCTAAGAGTACTCATTGACACGTTCTATTTCAATAGAGACTTTAGCTCGAAAAACGTCCAATTACTACACACATAATGTTTGTCACTTATTAGAGACATCTCAGTTGTCAAGTCCCCCTTCACCTGAGACTTTGGTGTGAGATGAGCTCCAACCTCTCCGCCGGGATCTGTGCTGAGACTCAGCGCCAGATGATTGTGTGTGCAAATCCCAACCTGTAGGCGAAGTCACCTTTTAACCTTCAGCTCCGCCTTCGGTTTAGACGAGTTCCTTCCTGTCTGGTTGCAGACGCTGGTTAAAGCCTCCCAGTCCAATTCCTTTGCCTCTGTATCAGCCATTGGAGGTTCCCAAATGGTTTTGCTTTTCTAGTAAAAAAGAATTAGGGGGAAATAAAGCAAATACAGTGTAATGGGCTCTGGTTTGGGACACATGTCCGCAGTTCTTTCCAGATGACCCCTTGGAGTTGCTGGACCTCAGCCAGTCCCATTGGAGGAAAACCAGAGTGGAAGACTCCGTGTCTGCAGGCTCCTTCCCAGCTTCCTGCCCCCACAGAGCCAGAAAGCCCAGGTGAAGTGGGGCCCTGCAGGACCCCTGACCTCCTAGGGAGGCCCCTGACCTCGCAGGGAGGCTAAGAGCGGGTCCTTGCTCCTGCACCCTCTTGTTCTGTCTCCTCAGAGTCCGCCCACCTGCCCGTGGTGGGCCTCTGGCCATTGGTTCAAATCTGCAGCAGGAGGCAGTGCCCATCTCCTGCCCTCTTTGTTACTCAAGGTGGACGTTGGAAGGATGGGTATAGAAGCGGAGCCCCAGAGCAGCTCATGGACCCCAAGTTCTCACCTGCTTCCCACTGGGTTGTGATTGCCTGGGTCAGCCTGATGGCCCTCTGTATTCCAGACCCTGTGGAGCACAACTGGAATGTTCGGTCTTTGGGGAACTTATGTTGGGGCGGTTCCTGTTGACGGAGAAGGGGGGACCAGCACTCAGATACTCTAAAAACCCAAGGGCTCTTGCTGCACCGTGACTTTTTCCCCCAGTGAGGCCTCCTGTGCAAGCAGTTGAGGGACAGCACCTCTCCCACCAGGAGGAGGACCTCCGGCGGCTCATCTCACCTCTCTGCTCCGTTCCCTTCTCACTTCGCGTCTCAGGCTCTGTGGACGGGCTCTTTCGTCACTTTTTGGACCCTCTAGCCTCTTCCCTCTTTCCTACTCATTGCCAGGGTGACCAGCAAGCTTCTGCCGCAGGCTTTGCCCACGTTCTGCTGGCCCCTGGAATATTCTTCTGCACATCCTGGGCTCTTGGATGTCTTCACTCCACTGCGACCTTCTCAAGGGACGCCCTCCTGGACCGCCCCACCCCACGCGTATCTCTCTACATGCCTCCCCCTCGTCCTCTGTTTCATATTTATTCGTGGCACTCATGACATCTAATGCACGACTGCTAATTAAAGAATAATATGCAGGACACCTTTAGTCTCCAGCTGTCTCATATTTTGAGTTCTAATGTAGACTTAGATGTAAATGAACCAAATCTTGACCCAGTAGTATGTCTTGTGTGTGTGTGTGTGTGTGTGTGTGTGATAAATAGTGTGCTTCAGGCAGTCACAAATAGCTGGGTTCCAGCTAATCATGGGCGGCCAACTCATCACACCAGGCCCAAACAGGACAGAAGCCGTATTAGCCAACCAGGCGAATCCCCCAGGCTCCCTCCGAGCCTGGCTGGAGTGCTGGGCTGCTCTCTGAATTTCTTCTGGTTCTGGAATTCCTGTATCATTCTCTGCTCAGGTAAACTTGGTTGCATGCAATTTATTGAAAGGCTCTTCTTTCAACAGGATGCACATTGAAAATGTTGTCTTATTATCTGTTGGCTTTTAAAATGTAAATGGAGGCAGGGGCATGGTGAATTGGAAGCCGACCTGGTCAACTTAGAGAGACCCTGTCACAAAAAATAAAAAGGGCAGGGATATAGCTCAGGGGTGGAGCCCCCCTCCAGGTTCAATAGTCAATAACAAATAAACAACATGTGAGCCCCACGAACGTAGGGATCCCATGCTTTTTGTCCATTCTCCCATCTGTTGCTCTTAGAATAGCAGGTGGCAGGTATCAGGCACTCAGCAAACTCTGGTTGAAATAAAAAACACATGAATGAGAGTGAGGGCCACTCACCCCATTCCTCTGTCCTCGGCCCATGGCACCTCTGCAGGAGGTCAGAGGTGCTGCCCGGCTCTGGCTGGACGTCTGGAAGCCTGGAGTCTCCCGTGTCTGATTGTTCACCTGCTGGAAGCGCATCCCCAGTTCCTTGGTTCTCTGTGTGAGGGAACCAGGCGTCTCAAGCCTGCGGCTGTGGGCACAGATGAGGTGGTATTCAGTGACCTGTGAGTGAGAACGGCCCTCAGCACAGCACAGGGCCTCTCTGCCTCTGCCTCAACTTACTCTGTCACATTCTTCCATGGCAGCATGGCCAAGGCCCCTGCCAGCGCCCAGGGAAGGGGCACAGAGTGAACAAAAGGCATGGACCCCTGCCCTTGTGGGGCTCACATCTTGTTTATTGGTTATTGGCTACTGAACCCGGGGGGCTCTACCATTGAGCTGTATCCCTGTGCTTTGGAGGAAGGTCCCGGCTGTGCCCAGCCCCTGAACACAGGGGCCTCCTGTGTGCTGTGCCAGGCTCCTGAGAACTCTGGAGGAGGCCGGGCGGCGGGCGGCCAGCTCTGTTTCTGCTCAGGGCTCTCAGTCTTTAGTGACGGCAGCTACTTCTGGACCTGGATCTATGTTTTCTGATGACAGTTTGCAGGCAACGGCTCAGGCCGGTGAGGAGCAGAGGACGTGCTTTCTGTCTGTGCTCCCTGGTTCCTCTGCTGCTTTCGGTGGCTCATGCAAACTAACAGCCCTGGACTCCTGTGCCCAGTGCAGAAGGCCCTGTGCAAACGAATGCTAAGACTGAGTGTCTGCAGACGTCAGCCAGGTGCCAGGAGTTCCCGGTCTCCGACCTCATGGGACACCCTGCTGTTTACCACAGTTACTTAGAGGGTCCCTTACCTACTCCCTGGAGAGGAGGAGCTGGCCTTGGAATACTCCCCCACTTCTCTCAGGCTTTTCTGGGAGAATCTCCTGCAGATTTCTGTACACACACCCACTCCTTTCTTTCTCTATACATAAGCTCACTGATGGAGCAAAACCCAACACGGCCCTACTGGACTGAAGGCCACCTGCCTCCTTGAAAATCAGTTTTCTTTTCATCAAAAAGAAAAATTTCCTTGGGGAGGAGGAGGGGAGAGAGAGAGAGAGAGAGAGAGAGAGAGAGAGAGAGAGAGAGAGAGAGAGAAAGACCACCCTGAAATCATTCTCTCATTTTACACTTCGGTTTTGTTTGTTTATTTTTAGGAGCTGGGGATGGAAGCCGGGGCCTTACACATGCTGCAAAGGTGCTTTACCCTTGAGCTACATCCCCAGCCTCCACTTTGTTCTTAAGATCTCAAATCATGACTTTCAAATCCATGTTGTAATAATATAGATTTTAACAAAATCAGATACATCCTTCCAGATGTGCCTTCACACCCCCAGACTGTTCTGTTGCTGATTTGCCAGAGCTCCAAGATGCTGATTAGAACATCGGCCATGGAGTAGAACCTGCTGCCATCTGAAGTGACCCGTGTTTTGTGGCCACCTCGGATTCCTAGAAAACAGCCGTTCATTGCTCCTGAGCAGGAGGCCACGCGTAGCTGCTTCCAAGGCCAGGAGGCACCCCACTGCTCCTGGGCCTCCCTTTGCCCATGTCACGTGCACCAGTGTGGCTGAGTCTCGTGTTGCACACTGCTTGACACACTTACCCTGCCTCCTCTAGCTCTGAGACAAACAGAAATTTGCCGAAGCTTCTAACATGTCCTTCCCTTTGAAAATGGCTCACTGCAGAAGACACATTGAGGATCCACTGTTCTCAGAGGAAGAAAAGGGAAAGATGGAGGGTTTGTCACTCCCAGGAAAAGGGCTGCTAAACTTTCACCCAGGATTGCAGACTGTGCTTTTGGAAAGGCTGCTCTGAGTTGGCTTGTTTTCACGCAGCAGTAGCTGGCCCAGAGTGGGCCTGCAGACCTTTCTTACAAAGTCATCCTGCAGGGACCGGAACTGGCAAGCTGGCGCTGGTGCCAGTTGGCATTCTGTTCTAGAGGTGGCCTAATCTGATACTCTGTTCAAAGCCCACAAGTTTGACAAATCAATGTTTCTTGTGAAAAGGGTGTCCTGAGGCTGCTCCCTCGAGAATCTGTTTTTACTGAAAATGCGAGCTGTTTTTATTATCAAATGTCTTTTAGCCTTGTGACCTGAAACAAAGTTTCATAAAGTGTTGGATGTTATAAACTTAAAAACCGAACCCAACCAAACCTGCCTGCTTCAGCATTTTAATAAATGAAAACGTCCATTTGTAGTTAAGGCTCGAATTTGCCGTGGCCTAAGTGGCTGACACAGATTCTAGTTGGAATCACTGTTGATTTATTTATCCTGGAATAAATGCAATGCCATTATGTCTTGGTGACAACAGAAACAAGCTTTGGCCAGGTCTGTGCATAGTTTGGGGATGAAGAAAATAAGTTTTGAAAGGCAATGGGCATTGCTGATTATAGATTTTCATTAGGAACAGATGTGGATTGTGGTGTTCAGTGGTAGACACACTGTTATGAAGACAAGTCAACTGACTAAGAACCGTAGTGCCTTCTTTTTTAAGAAAGAGCTAACAAATTGAGTTCATCATCTTTCTTTAAGGCAGTGCCTAGCTGTCGGGAACAAACCCAGATATTTATGCATCTGTCGAAAAGGGAACAGTGGGACAGGGGGCACTATGCTGGTCAACACGTCTCCAGGCTGAAGCAGAGGTTTAGAAAGTAATTACACGTTTTTTTCCCCAGACCTCTCCACTTAGCCTCTGTTGATGGTGGGCCCCTCTGGACAGCCCTCTCCTCTTGCAGGGTAGCACTGCAAAGGCCAAGTTACATATGGCAGGATCATTTTGTGTCTTTCAGGGCTGTTTTTCTCTTCCTTCAAGGACAGCGAGAGCATTCAAGAGTCCTCACTCCCGGGTCTGGGCTGGGCCAGCTTCGGGGGAAGATCTTGGGTGTGCTGGATCATGTCCATCGCTCTCTGACATCCACCTTTGCTCCCAATCACTTACTGAGATTCCCTCGTTTAAGGAAATGCCCTAGAAACTTCAAAGGACACTTCCAGTCATATGATATTGTCTGGACCTTATTCACATGGCCACACCTAGCTGTAAAGGGGACGGGAACATGAAGTTATCCGGAGTGGTGACACGCCACTCAAGAATCAAGATGGGTGTTGTAGAAGAGGAAGTGGGTATTGGAAACAACCAGGGGCAGCACCAGGCTTAGACCGAATCACTCTCCTCTCAATAGGGGGTGAGAGCCCCTTTCCTTCTCGTTTTCACTCAAATTTGGAATTGTCAGACACTTTGGTTTTGGTCAAGCTGATGGATGCTCATTAGTATTCAAATTCTCACCTTCACATTCGTGTGCTATTCTCATGTCCCACCTCACAGATAACCATTCTGATGTATTTAATATGGATCTATTTTATTCTGTATATAAAGGGTATTATTTGGAATGCATTTATTTATAATTCTTTAATTGGTAAAATCCACTGCATCTCCTTTTCACTAATCACTGAGTTTCAGGGTTTGTCTGTGCTGCTGTTTGTCATCCACCATGCTGCATGGAGATACTCTGTGACAGTCCCCACACCCTATTCCCGGTGATGGATGTTCAGCCTGTCTCTGACTCCCCAGTGGCACTTATGCCTTATGACGAGCCCATCTGATAAGTGGTATCCCTGCCAGCTCTACAGATGAGGAAAGAATTGCCCCAGGTTCCACAGTTAGGGGGAGGAAAGAGCGCCAGGCCACTCACTTTTAAGTGGAAAATGGAGTTGTGAGCCAGCCATTGCTACCAGAGGCTCCAGGTTACGTTTTCCGGCTCTGAATGTCTCCTCCATTCTGCTCCAGTGACGCCCGATGGGTAACAGTAGAGATTCTGGGGCGGGGATGTTGCTGGTGGAGAGCTTGCCTAGCGCCCACGAGACTCCAGGTTCCATCCCCAGCGCTGCAAACCAAAGAACAAACAGCAACAACACAGTGTGAGCACGCCACACCAAGAAGCCCATCAGGTGGATGAGGAAAAGGTGGGGGGCCTACACAAAACGGAACACTCCGCAGTCACAACAAGGAAAGGAATCCTGTCACTTGCAGCCACACAGAAGGAATGGGAGACATCACACTGAGTGAAACAGGCCAGGCCCCGAAAGACAAATACTGCACATACTCACTCCCATGAGGAGCTACGAAGAGCTGGTTTCGTTGAGGAGAGCAGAGAATGGTCACTAAAGGCCAGGAGGGTGTGGGGAGAAGGGAGAGGAGGGTTGGCTAATGGCCAGCACAGTAGAGCTGGACAGGAGAAGCTCTAGTGTCCTGTAGCACAGCAGGGATAGATGTTCACAGCAGCTGACTGGATGTTTTATAAAGATGGTGAATGTTTAGGGAATGGGAAGTGATAACGACCCTGGTTTGATCATCGTGCCTCACATGCATCTATCAAATTATCACTCCATACCCCATAAATGTGTATAATCACTCTATATGCAAAAGAAAAAATGATTAAATTCAGTTGTAGGCAAAAATAGAAATTCTTTGATTTAGTGATTCCTCTCTGAACAGATTCCAAATAGATGGCAGACCTCCCTGGGCGTTCATGTCTTGTGGTAAATGAGTCCTGAGCCCTCTCTGGGGGTGAGGGGTAAGGTGGACTGGCTGGCCGTTGAGGATTTAGAAGGTGTCAGGTGGGACTGTTGAGCATGTGACAGCCTGACCAACATGGCTTCAACCTGGGTGACATCAGCATCACTGGGGTTAGGGATACAAGGTTTTAGGGCCCCACCCAGAACCTCTGGATCTTATGAGTCCTCCAGGTGACTCATACGGCCACCCAAGTCTGGGAACCACAGGCTTCCTATAATAGGAGACCGGGGATTGGAAGTCGGGGCTGGTGCCACAGCAATGGCACCGAGAACAGAGTTCCTTCTGTCTGTCATGTTTAGTCTATGGCTTTCCTCTTCCTGGGAGCAAGAGGAATTATAGAGCCCCATCTGCATTCCAAGTCCTGAAAGAGGATGAATTCACCATGGGTGTTGCCTATACTAAGAAATCTCTCCCCATGTCCTCTTTTGTCTCCTTGGCAATAGCGTCACACGGTCACACCCAGGTACAGTGGTCTGCAGGGGCAAATATGTGACAACTGTGCATGTCACCACTGTCCTCTGTGTCGGTCAGCTTTCCATCACTATAACAAACACGTGACACAATCTGCTTATGCAAAGAACAGGGCTGTTTTGGTTCTGAGTTTGGGAACTTCTCGTCCACGACTAGTTGATCCCATTGCTTTGGGCCTGTGGGGAGGCAGCACATCATGGCGGAGGGAGCACGAGATGAAATGAGCCAGGGAGCGAAGGAGGAAGAGGAGTGGTAGAGGGCTTACCCTGCACGCAGGAGGCACTGAGTTCCAGCCTCACCACCACGTAAACACAAATATACAGTAAATAAAAACAAGGGTATTGTGTCCATCTACAGCTAAAAAAAATATTTAAAAAGAAGAAGAGGAAGAGACCAAGGTCCCATAATCCCCTTTGGGGGCAAACCCCAATGATCTAAAGACCTCTCACAAGGCCCTATCTCTGGAAGGTTCCACCACCTCTCCATGACAGCAAGCTGGAACCAGGCTTAACACACGGGCCTTTGGGGACATTCCAGACCCAAATACAGTATCCTCTTACCCCCGAGCTGAGGTTCTGTTACAGGGAAGAAGCCGGGATGGTCCGCAAGCAGCAGATTCTACGCCTGGGCCTCCGGGAGCCAGGAGGGCGCACAGGGAGGAGCGGTGGAGAGCAGCCTTCTCCTGGCTTGGGCTTTCTGGGGCCGGTCTTCCCATGGAGAGCGGGTGGGGGTCCTTTGCCGTCTCACCTGTGGGAGCCGCAGTTCCCTTTGCCCTTGGAGACCCAGAGCTGTTCCCCAGGTCACGGCCTCCGAATCTCAACCCCGCCCACAGACGGCCTCATCCCCCCAAAGCGCAGCGGATGGGCAGCAGGGCAGAGGCCGACCGGGAAGGGCTGGTCTTGGAGTGCGTTGACCCCGGCTCCCCCAGCCCAGCTGGGAGAGGCCCAGAGCCTGCTGTCCTGCCCTGGAGAGCTCTTATCTCTGCCTGTTGACTTAGTCTTGGGCTCAGGTTTTGTTTCTTCCTCTTAACTTTCTAGGCATGGAAAGAAACTGCGTATGTTTCTCTTAGTCCTCCTGGGGCTGCCCACCCTGCCTCGGGCACTGGCAGTGACCGGGTGCCATGAGCTGGCTCCCAGGGGTGGTCAGGGCCAGGCTTGGTCCTCCAGCCCCCTGCCTGGGAGGGGCGGGGTCCGCTCCCGAGGCCTTCCAGGGCTCCGGGGGTAGAGGTGGGTTGTGCCCGTCAACACTACAGGTGGGTCTGAAGCCAGTGCCAGCCAGGCAGCTGCGCAGCCCAGGGACTTCGAGCTGTTTGCAACTTGCTCTTTGTACCCCTGCCAACTCACGCACACCTGGGACTCCTCCAGCTGCCGCCCGCCGCAGCCCCCTTCCCGCCATGTGACCTAATCGTCACTCCACCTGCTTCTCTTCAGGGCTGCCAGCCCCATCCCTGCAGTGCCAAAATGAGACCTGGGGAGGTTTGAACAAGACCTACCTTCTCCATGCCCGAACCAGCCAACTCCCAGGAATTTCACGGCAAATTAGGAGAGATTGAGGTACACTGGAAGGAAAGGCCAGATCTGGCAATGAATCAGCTTGGTTGTTTGGGGATCAAATAAAATTGGACCCGCAGCCTCGGCTCTACAACAGAATCACAGTCTCTCTTTCGGCCTGGTAGGTGCGCTGGGTGGAGAGAACATGCACAGCTGCTGGGGCCCCCTTCTTTACATACGGATGTTGGTTTAAAATTCTGAAATACAACAAGGAGGAGAGGCGAGAGCTGGGGTCTGGGTCTTTGAAGTGCACAGAGGGCTTCTATTCAGCTGACTAAGAGTGCTGGGGTAAGAAGTCTCACTAACACCTGATCTGCATCTTAGGAAGGTCAAGATCCAGAGAAGAAGATGGACGAGCTGTCCACAGACACCCGACTTTCCAGCCCAGGAAGAGAGACAGAGCCAGAGAAGCTGCTGGTTCTGTTTGGGGTTCAGCAACTTCTGGTGGAGGAGATGGGGTCGGAGCTGAGATTTGAGAGGTGCAAGGTGGTGTCCTTCTCTCCATGACCTATCGGCGGGACACTGCTCTATTGTGTCTGACGTTGTTTTGCAGCATCCTTGCCTCAACCTTCTGTCATGAGAGCAGTCCAAGGTTAACAGCGGTAATCACCTGTGGAAACTGCCAACAAACATGAATAACTCTTCTGGGGCCAATTTTTCTCAAGGAAGTAATAAAGCAGTCTTGTGGCTCCTGGCAGGACGCATGGATGTCTTTCTCAGGCTCCTCACTGCCTCGTGACTCTGAGCATACAACGCACTCTGCTCATCCACTGCCTTTGGGAAGGAGAATCGATTGACTCACACCTCATTTTGATGGTGCGAATCAGTCAATCAATCAGTTGAAAGTACTCACTGTGTGCTTGGTGTTGCCATTTCTTTGTGCCCAAAAGTGCAGAAAAGATGAAAAAATGAGAAGATAAAGCATGCCGACTGTATAAGTAAGCAAATTTGTTCTTTTAAAACAGAGTGTCACTTTCAGAAGTTGCTGGAGTGACCAGTGCAGTTTTTACATGGCTTACAAATTTAAGAATTCTGGCTCTCAGCGGGTCTTTGCTCCCTCGATTAGAGATCACTTACTTGCATAGACTGGGAGCTATCGGTGCTGGTTGCTAATATTTCCAGTCCTCTCTTTGGAAACACAGGGAATTGCATTTCTTTAGCTCCCTGAGCTTCAATCTGGCCATATCCATTGTTTTTACCAGTGAAATGTGCACATAAATGACATTTCACATGAGTCACACAATGAATCCCCAGGGCTCCGTTGCACGACCCTCTCTCCCGGCCCCAGCATCATGGAAGTCTATTTTGATAAGGAGGCACTTTGTTGAATCATTGTAAGAAGGAAACCTTCCCTGGAGAGGCACCTGGGGTAAAATTATTATTTTTAAAAAAGTAATAATAATAATAGTAGTGATAGGAGTAGATATTATTTGTTTCTCTGAAAGCTACTGGGATTTAGGGGTTGCTTGTTATTGCGGAATGACCCAGTCTATCCTAACTAATGCGACAGCTAGATTAACCATCATGAACTGTGCTGACAGGTCAGAGGGTGGGGTAAGTCAGCACATGTCCATCTCAGGAAGGCTGACACACAGAGTTCATCCAGGTATTTCTGTGCAAGCCGAAGCCCTTCCTGGATGAGCCCGTACCATTCACATAGATTGTCTCAATTCTCACGACAGCGCTATGTGAGAATTAAATGGGAGAGATAGTACCACCCACATTCTCACATTTCACAAATGAGAGAGTCATAGAGTTCATGTCACTCGCCCAAGATCACATTCAAGTGGCCAGGGTGACACCACAGCCCAGGTTCCTTCCAGCATCCTACTGCCTCTCAGGAAGCTGGCCTAGAATTCCTCCTCCACTGATGAAAGTAGTTCACGCACACTGCCACAAAACCAGAGCCCACAAGGGCGTGGTCATTAGTGCTCCTTTTAAAATGTTAGTTCTCCACTTAGTCTCACTGAAGTCTGAATCAAGGGTCAGGGTGTGGGGGTGGGGTTCCTTTCAAAGTCAAAGAAACAGGTAAGAAGTTGTGGATGGAATGGGGCAAATTAATTCCAATATCTGAAAAAAACAAACCAGAAAATTGGTCAGCAGGGTCCTCATTATGCATCAAACACAGGCAAGATTTCTATGTGGCATATATATTAAACAACAGCCACCCCAAACCCCGCAGAATTCCAAAAGCTCTCAAAATGTTGTTCACTCTATTTTTCTAGGGAAAAAAAAAGTGGTTGTAACCCAACCAGGCAAGTGTGTGTTTGGCTGGTGCCTGGGTCTGGGTGAACTCCCAAGTTTCCCTTTGCTGAGATGCCTTACAGCCCACCCCAGAGCGTCCACACAACAGCGAAGTCCACAAAAACAAGGGCCCTGGTGACCCTGCTCAAGGGTAGACCCCGGCTCATGGGCAGGCAGTGAGCCTTCGGAGCATTTGTTAAACCAGTGAATGACCCCTGACTCCCCTCAGTACATAACCACAGAACGAAGAATGAGATCTCCAGGAGGCACACTCCACAGTGAGCTGCTGCTCTTCTCTCCACCGTGGAACCCGCCAGGCCCCGTGACAGCCACAAGGCAACTGGACTTTTTGGAGTTTCCGTTGCTTTAAATAAATCATCCCTAATATTGCAAGTCTGATTCCAATACATGTGTCACCCATTCCACAGTGAAGATGAAAGATGAGAGTCCCCAGAGAGGCTGTACCAAGTCTACAAAATGCCCATCAGCTCGGGAGGCTGAGGCCAGGGGAACACAAGTTCAAAGCCAGCCTTAGTGAGGATATGAGCAACCTAGCAAGACCCTGTCTCAAAACAAAAGCTAAAAAGGACTGGGGATGTGATTCAGTGGTTAAGTGCCCCTGGGTTCAATCCCTGACACACACACACACAAGGATGTGAGACACGTCCTGCATATACAAGTGTATGTCACAGGAGTCAGGCTCCAAGAACTACAGTTTGCCACAAATGTGATCGTTCTCTTTTGCACTATCACACCAACTGTGGACCCATAGTGGAATTTCCTTTATTCTTTCATTTATTTGCATGCATAACTTTTGGGGGAAAAATCTGAATAAGGGCCAGGCATAGTGGAGCACACCTGTAATCCTAGTGGCTCAGGAGGCTGAGGCAGGAGGATCTTGAGTTCAAAGCCATCTTTAGCAACTTAGCGAGACCCTACCCCTAATTAAAATATGAAAAAGGGCTGGGGATGTGGCTCAGTGGTTAAGCGTTCCTGGGTTCAATCCCTGGTACCCCCCAAAAAAAGTTTTGAATGAATGCTTTATCTACTAGAATCATATGCAATGGAATTGCCATCAGGGTCATGGATGTAGGCAGATTGGGGGCTCTTTGCAAACAGTCACATAAGACTCATTTTCCAAAAACTCCTTTTAGCACCTTGCCTTGCATCAAATAGGTATCTAGCATGAGCCTGTCCTATAGGCTAAGTATCCACTCATTTCCTACAACAAAACTGAGTTTCTCCTCATGCAAACTCCACAGAAAACAGGTGGCTGTCAGATCTTTAATGGCGGGAAATTGTTGGTTTTGATTTTAAGATTCACTGTGATCTTTAGACTCGTTATAGACAACACTTTATTTTTAACTTTCAAAATAAACACAAAATTACAGAAATCCAGGAGGGCACGTTGGTGGCCTAATGTCCCATCACCCAGAATACTTTACTGCAGGTTTTTCCTGCCGTCAGGGACGGTTCTCCTACAGGACCACAATACATCCATCAAAGAAAACTAATATTGACATGGGGTGTCCCCGAATCCTTAGACACCATTAAGTCTCTCCAATAGCCTCAGAGATGTTCCTTATAACCCAAGGATCCAGTCCAGAGCCACGCATTGCGGCCCTTCACCTGTCTTTAGTTGGAAAGAGATGCTGGACATTTTCCTTTTCTGATCCCAACATACTTCTGAGGCAAGCAGGAGCTGCACCCGGCAGGACATTACTCCCTGTGGACGCTGGGCTGTTCCCCAGGTTAGACTCAGGCTGTGCATCTTGGGTAGCACAGAGGGGCCCTGAGCGCCCTTCCCCCCCTGCTAAGTGGTGCACAATTGCACTTTGTCCCTCACAGGTGGCCTCGGGTCCCTGCTTCCAGTAACGTTGCCAGGCTTCTCCCCTGCAGGGCGAGTTTCCCCCTTTCTAGTGGCAACCCATGTGGAGAAGTGAAACTTCATGGTCGGATTTTCACATTGCTTATTAATACGTGAGGATTCGTTGTTTCCTGTTTGGTTTGATGGGTTAAAACTGGTGATATAAGTTTGCATGACGAGGCTCAAGTTGTCCTGGGCTTGGGCCAGGTGGAACCTCGCCAGCCGGCTCCGGGCCTTCCCACACGACTCCCCAGCTCTTCCAGTGATTTCTGGCCTCTGGCACACCAGCGCCTTCCAGGGAGCGCCCACCCCAGCCCCAGAGCAGCCATTTCTCCAAAGACAGAGCAAGAAGGAAACTTAAAGAAAATCTAATGCAACCATCTTTTTAAAAGTTTAATAGCTATCTAATTTCTAAGGATAATTTTGCTTATTCTAAGAGAAATTGAGTTCTATTTTTTTATTTTCAGTGGCAGAAGGTCCGTGAGTACCTGGAGTGATGGAAAACTGCATGTGGCATTTTCTACGTGGCTGATGGCCGGGAGATAGTTGTCTTTGTCCCTCTCAGTGTTTGTCTTGCTCTTCTATGAGTCTCAGGGACTGGCAGACGCAGGTGACGGCACTGTGAGTCAACGGTTTGTTCTGTGCGGTTAAAACAGGAAGAGTCAGTGACTCTATTCTTCAAACTAATAACTACGAGAAAATAAATCAATCCCATTATTGTCACCCCCCCCACACACACACACACACTCAGGACATGTGGTCTTGAGGCCGGGGCAGACTCAGGGATGGCAATTGAGCTGGGATCAGCAGAGAGGGGTGGCAAAGAACCAGCACCTTCAGGAGACTGATTCGCTTGCGGATGGAAGGAGTTTATAGAGGTGCAGTAGGAACACAGCTGTTTCGGAAAGTGCATGGATTTGTTTTTTCAGCTACCAAATATCTTTTAGGTAGGTCAAGGTCAATTGCAAATAATAGAAAACCCAACAAGAGTGACCTAAGGGAGTAGAGGTAGATTTTTCTTACAAGTTTGGAGGTGAGAGGTTACTTATGGTGGTGAGTCGGCTGATTCCTTTGGTCTTTCCCTCATGACCCCAAGATGGTAGTGCAACTCCAGGCATTACATCTGCGTCCAAGACAAGAAAAGTAGCATTGATGGACAATTTGTCATCTTTTATGGGGAAAATCAAAGCTATCCAGAGCCCTGCTTCACACTAACCCAGTAGGTATTTGCCCACTGACCTACCAGTTTTCACACCTTTCCTCTCAGAGGCAAAGCAACCTGGGAAAGTAAGTATGAACCAGGGTCTCCCTTTTAGAGGAGAGGGAGAAAGGTAAAAAGTGAGTAGGAATCAGGGTTGGCCCACCCAGCCTTTTGTCAACCACAAGAGCACTGGCTGGTTACTTTCCACATATATTAAGGAGGAAAGAGAAGTTTCACTTGGAACTAGCAAAACCTTCCCCAACCTTTAAGTCAGGCAACACAGGCCTCTGTGTTTCAAGAGCTTCATGCTAAGAAATGCTCATTATGATGTGTCTCAGAGATTGAGATATTTGGTTGCATGAGACCTGGAGACAGACCAGATGATTCTATTAGCTCTGTGATCCTTTGATTCACAATTGCAAACTTACGTTCTCTACCTTTCACAGCCTGTGAAGTACCAAAGAATGTAGGATGGCCATCCCCCCAGTTTCAGCCCTCCCTCCTCCACCCACCTCGTTGGGAAGCTTGAAAGGTGCTTTGTTTTAGCAATTCTAAGCGTAATGCTGTTCCTCTTATTCAAACACGGTTTCAAGTCTGCAAGACAAAAGTACTCAATAAAAGTGAGATATAAGCAAAATATCGGGAAATCAAGATGTGTTTAGTTTACCAAAATGCACTGGGATAAAGCTGAGAGTTCCTACCAGATAGAAGAGAAGGCATGACTTGCATATGCTGTGGGCACTTTACAGTCACAGAACTTCTCTAGACATAATATTATACAAGACTGTGTGTTATGCTTATTTTTAAAGTAAACACATTTGTAAATCACTTGCAAACGTGTTGAGAGCCTGTGGTTTATTTCTGTTTCACGTCGCCCTGTAGACTTGGCGGCCCAGGCTCCTAATGGCAGCAGCAGGCCTTTTCCAGACAACCCTTCGTGCCCCAGAGGGGGGAAGACAATGCATCATTGTGAACTTGCCCAAGATCTGCGAATGTGGTGCAATGTCGGTGTGCCAGCAGCCTGAACTTTGCAAACCCACCAAAGATTCCAGCCAGCCTGGGCTCGTTAGCCAGAAAACTCGAGAATGACTGACACAAAGTCTCCTTGCTGCACCAGGTTTAGAGATGTCTTATAAGGCACCTTCTCCCCTCTGGTCTTTTAAATGACCAGAATGAGAACTAGAAGTAGGTTTCATAATATCCAGACAAATGATCTCTTTCATGCATATCTGCTTTTATTGCATGACCAGATTCGTTTAGGGAAACCCATGAGCATCTCTGGCCTGTGCAATTTTTGCACCACACACCAGGCTCTGTGTGAAGTGCACTGTAGGTCGTTTCTGATGCATTTTGTCCATTCAGATGATTTTTATTGAGCACCTACTCACTGAGTGTTCTACGTGTTGGATGTGCATAGCTAACACTCATGACATTTCAAGGAGTTGCTGTGCCCGACATTTTTAAAATTAAAAAACTGAGGCCCAGAGAGAATAACCAAACCTCTCAAAGCCACACAGCTAGGTGGTGGCAAAGCCAGGTTGGAAGACGGCTCTGATTCAGCCCACATCACACACTTTCTGCCTGAAACCTGATGCCTCCTCCTGTAAACTGACCTTCTCACAAGGGCCCACCATTGCTCACACAAGGAATCACTTTTGAGACCAGGACTCAGGAACATTTAAGGTTAGTCTGTTAAAATAGTTCTGTTCCTGGTCCAAGAATTAAAAGGAAGACGCTGCCTTTGCTGAACCTGGTGTTAAAGTTATTCAGTTCGTCCCCTCCCCCACACTGCTCGTCCTCAGAGCTTCCTTCAGACCTTTAGCTCCCGGGAGAGCTGGTCTGTGCTTCCACACGGTGGTCCTGGTGGTCCTGCGGCAGCCCCAGACGGGGAAGGCGGCTCCTGCGAGGGAGAATCCTCCGAGGGGTGAGGAAAGAGCCCGGCTGGCCATCTGGGCCCTGAGCCGTCTGCAGTGGACCGTCGGGACCAGGTCTGGCTGAGTGGCTCCCAGGTGGGCTGAGTCCAGGGCAGTGAGAGGCGTGAGATAGCACAGGTAGGAGCAGCGGGCAAACTGGAAAGTGGTGAGTGAAGACCAGCTGCGACCTCGTTGACAAAGCAAGTCGAGAGAGGGGACTTCAGCCCCTCTGCAAACTTCGACTAAAGGATCCGTTGACTATAAGAGTCCAGCGAAGGCCAATGAAGCCAAGCACCTCTGTCACGGTGCCTTTCTTGGTGGTATTTGGGGCATGGAATTCTTTGAGGATTTTTGAGGGGGCTGGGCACAATCCCAGTCCTGCCTCTTGATGCTGCAGCATCTCAGGAGAGACCTTTGACCTCCCTGGGCCTCAGTTTCCACATTCTTACTGGTTTGTTTCACATGAGTCGAATGAGATGTGTGCAGAAATGCTTGAAAACGCTACAGATACGAATGGTCTTGCTTTCTCCAATTATCTCATAACACAAGGAGTCCTTTGGTAAGATGATAGGGGTTTAACCCAGGGGTGCTTTACCACTGAGCTACATTCCCAGTACTTTCCATTTTTAGTTTTTAAGACAGTGTCGCTAAGTTGCCCAGGTGGGCCTCAAACTTGTGATCCTCCTGCCTCGGCCTCCCAGGCATCACTGTGCCCAGCCCTGGGATGTGAAATGGTGAAGAGTGTTCATTCCTCTTGAGCACAAACTCAGCTGAGATCAGGAGCAGCCCCTCTTGCCTCCTCGGTCCTCTGTGAGCAGGTATGAAGACTTAGCAGAGGAAGCTGTCCAGCAGGAGACGGACCACAGCCTCTGAATGGCAAGGTCACAGGCGTGGAGGGCGTGGGCCCGGGCAGCCGCCTCTTGAGTGGGTGGTGAACCGCGTATCGCCGTTGTGTGGCTGTGAGCAAGAGTCAGAGGCAGGTTTTGCAGGTTCCTAGGCTTAGAAGCAGACAAGGAGGAAGGAAGAGCAGGATGACTTTGGTTGCCTTAAAGCCCTCTGTAAACGTGGTGTAGGGCTCTGATCCACTTTCAAGCCCAGGGGCCAGACGAGTCGTCCCCCGACCTTCTCCTAAACCCGGGTCCTCTTCATTCCTGTCCCTCGCCAGGCCACTCCACATCTCCAATCCGCTCATCTTCCCCCAGGTTTTACACCAGTGTCTCAACTGTCTTCAGCACCTTCTACTTGGAGGGGTCTGACCTTGCCCAAGGACACACGTGGTGTCTTCCAAAGATGGAGCTGCGCCACATGAGAAATGCAGCTGCCTCCCAGGAGCCGGCCCTGGCCCCTGCTGCCTCTTGATGCTGTGGCATCTTGGGCGAGACCTCTGACCTCTCTGGGCCTCAGTTTCTACTTTCTCTCTGGTTAGTTCCACACTGGTCAAGTGAGACGTGTGCAGAAATGCTTGAAAACGCTGTAAACACAAGTCGTCTTGTTTTCCCCCAGTTACCCCATAACAAATGCCCTCGTTTAGTAAAGATGATCGTGTCCCAAGGACGGGCTGCAGGGGGCAGGCCCTCAAGTCTACGGAGGTTTCCTTAGGGCTGGGGAGAGCTGGGAGGCGGGTTTGCAGGGATTGGGTGTGTTATTCTAACACCTATCTGTTTCTGTCCTTTTAGAGAGTTATCTTGACAGTCTGCCTAACTGATAAAGTGTGTGTCACTTTCTCATGTGCAAGTTTATTACTGTTTGTTTAAATACTTAATGATTAACTATCTCCTGGGCTTATCAATAAAGCAATTGAAGTCTTCTGGGATGGAGTAGATTAAAAATGGAAATTTACACTTAATGGTCGATTATACTTAATGATCAATCAGCTTGGCTAATTTTGCTTTCCCTCCTTTCTCTAGTAACATCTTGTCAGAGATAAATAGGGGAATCAGTGGACTTGAAAAATACAACAACTCACAAATATGACACAGTACATACAGAGAGCCGTGGACCTTCCTCTTTTTCTGTTCATTTCATTTCCAGGAACTTATCCTAAGGAAATTATCAGGAATACTAAGTCACACACAAACAAGGGTGTTATTTAGGAAAGGGACGTAATTTCTCTTGATGCTTAGTACCATATAATCTTTCTAAACAAATTGAGACTGGTGATCGCCACCCGCCAGGGTTGGTGACAACCTTTTCTTTCTTTTCTTTTTCAAGTTTCAGTTTCTCCGCTAAATCCCTCGGGATGGTGGCCCAACCTTGGGTTGGCATGACAGGAATTTAGGAAAGGCAGTTGTGAGCATGGCCAGTCCCTCTGCGGAAGCCTTTATAAGGCCACAAGGATCCAGGGGAGGCTCCAGGGCCACCTGTCTCCCGAGGACTCCAGACCTCCTGGTCATGCCCAGAGCAGAGCCTCACCCATCTCCTACCTCTGACTCCCAGATGTTGGGTCTCCCAGCTTGCTTACCCCCCTAAGGACACACTTTTGAAAACAGAGGCTGTTATTTTGCCTCCAGGACCAAGGAAAACCCATATTGCCCCAGTTTGAGGCCCCATGAGGGCTTCTGGTGACAAAAGGGAAGAGGACCTCTATTGTTTTAGAATTGACCTAGGAAACAGGCCAGTGTTCCCAACAGAGTCTCCATTGTTCCAGATTAAAATTCCAATAAGTCGTCCAGCTTCCTTCATAATAATAAAAGTCTGGAAAGACCTTATGCATCGTATAAGGGGATCATTCACTGGAATATTATGTGGTGATTAAAGAACTTGGTTGAAAAAAAAAACACTATTTCAGTAATCTGGAAACATACCCAATATACACATTTTTTTTTAAGTAGGTTACAACAGGGTATGGTGGCACACGCCTGTGATCTCAGCAACTCGGGAGGCTGAGGCAGGAGGATCACAAGTTCAAGGCCAGCCTCAGCAACCTATCGAGACCCTGTCTCAAAATAAAAAGAGCTGAGGGCGTAAATCGATAGAACGCTGGTGGAGTGTGTGTGGAGTTCAATTATCAGATGGCAACAACAACAAACCAACAAAAACAACAATGATACCCCCCCAGAAGCTTACCAAGCAGGTGTGCAATGTCAGGCTGCACCTAGGATGTGCTGCGCACCCTCACAGCTGAGACAGGGCCGTGACAGTGTCCCGCTGACGAGCAGCAGGACTCTGGGTGAGGTTTATATTTCTTCTTAGACTGTCACTTTTCCATACTTCTAGATTTCCTTCTTTTGCCCCTTGAATTTTCATTTGGGAATTGAGAAAATTATCAAATTTACTCCATGTTGTTTTATGCTTTTGATATAAGAGTAGAAATAGAGAGAGGGGGAGAGAATTGTTTTCACTTGTTGGAAGCTACATCAATATAGCACAGAACTTCTGCCATTGTAGAATGTACCAACTTTCAAAAAATGTTTAGACTGCAGACCTTGCTAAGGAAACAGGCTTCCCAGTATTTAACCAGCAAACAGCCCCATTCCCTTTGTACCAACGGTAAAGAATTTAGCCACCCACCATACAACAATGGCACACTGATCAGTTTCTTGGGGGTCTGAGACCCGGCTCCAGTTGGTACCCAACCCAAAGTTAGCAGGGCCTGGTGGGGCAAGAGTACAAACTGGGACCTTCATGGCATATGCTTGATATCCAAAGTCCAAATCAAACAAGCGTCTTATTAACTCAAACATGGTCTCTGCTCTGACCTTGACAAATACATCTTCCTAAGACCAGGATCAAATTTAGGATTCTCCCCATTTCTGGTGTTCTGTACCAGAATGCAGTGGGTACCCTCAGGCTGGCCACCCGTCCCCCACCTCAGCACACCCCCAGCTCTTTCTTTCTCCCTCCCTGTCCACCTGTGAGACCCAGGAGAACATGCACTGGCATAAAGCTTGTCCCTGGGAAGAAGTCTGCAGGCCCTGGAGCAGCTGTAGATCAGGACTCCAAGGTCTGGACATGCAGAGCGTCCCAGGCTCCAGGTGACATGTCTCCTTGGTCCACTCACTCCTTGCCCTATGGGTGGGGTCATGACAGGGCGAGCCCAGGGGCAGAGTGTGGCCCTGTGAGGCGTGGGCCCAGCCAGTGGCCCCTATAAACATGGGTCTAAGGGCCCTGTTTCCCATGTGGAACCCCCGTCATCCGCTGCGTTCCATCCTGTGTTCTCCATGATCAAGAGTCAGGAGAGGACGTGTAGGAAGCTGATCTTGCATGAGTTACTCTTTGACCCTCCTAGAGGGAAAGGCCCTCTGCTTTTTCCCTTTATTAAAATAAAATTTTAATTATACTTCCACAATTTGATTTTGTGACCTTGAGTTCTGAAAGGCCTACTCTCCTGGGGGACACCTGGGGAAAATGCGGACACCCACCTGAAGGAGCTTCATCCTTCATTGGGCTCCACCCTGGGCTGGAGAACCTGAATGGGAGTTCCCTTGGGATGAGCAAGCGTGGACACTGGAAACCAGGCAGCGTGGGAGGTCTCACAGAAGAGGCCGGCGGATGGAGGGCCAGCTGGCTTCCAGGATGGGGCATTCTGTGACACGAGGATAGAGAACGCAGTGAGTTCACGGGGCGATCCAGCGGGTGCCAGGCACCACGCCAGACACAGACGTACCCACGGACACGTACGCAGCATGGGTAACACACTGTACCTGTGCACCGCCTGTGCACACAAACGTCATCTGAGACTCACGGCAACACTTTGAAGAAGTAAGGCTCATCCACTAACCTGCCTGCAGTCTCGCTGCCAGTTTTGTGGCAAAACCGAAGTTACAATCCAGGTTTGTTTTGCTACAAAACCTGAACTCTCAGCCAGTCTGTTCTAGTCAAATAGGATTTCATGAAAATTGGCAAATGGGAAGAATTCCAGGGAAGAAAGGCCTCACGCAGACTGTCCTGTGAAAACCGTAGGCTGAGGAACCTCACGGAGAAGGGCCCAGGAGACACCACCGAGGAGGGGCTGCTCCTGGGTGCAGCTTGGGAACTCCCTCATCCCCCGGAGCCAAGGACAGGGCCCAAGGCCCTGCTGCTTCTGAATGTAAATGTTTGGACTGAAGCCCGTGGTGGAAGCTGCCGTCTGGGACACTCGGCACATTCTGGAAGCATAGAAAACGGCCCCATTCTTCGGTGGTACAGAGACACAAATCTCGGAGAAACTTGGTGTGGGGTTAAGAGAGAAGCGACTGGTCAGCCCAGGACCAGCTGCAAGAGGCAGCTTAGTGAAGGGGTCTCGAGAGGGCAACCCTCCTCTCGCTAAGCCCATCAGGACCCACAGATACGGATCCCTCGTCTTGGCTTCCTTTAATCATTTCCATGAAAATGCATGCTGGAGAGTGACCTGGAAACTGATGAGACTTGTCCCCTTGAGAAGAAAACCACGAGGAGTCAGGAGAAAATGGGAACGAGAAAGCCAAGGGGGAAAGGCTGGGGAGCAGCAGAAGAGGCAGAGGAGGCTGCAGTAGAGGACAGGGCGATTGCTCAAGAGGCCACTGGGTGGCTTCGCATGTGCCCCCAGAAGAAAGGAAAGCCCGTCCAGAGGCAAGAGCAGACCCTGGGAACCACCTCGGAGGCCTGCACCTCCCATCCCCACACTGATGAGGGGCCTGCTGGGTGAGGGTGGGCCTGGACGGGCGAAGGCTGGGGAGGGCTCATCTGCCTCTACCTCAAATGCCTCCCTTGCCATAAACCAGGGACTTGTACCTTCCTAGTCATGATATAGAATCCTGAGGGTTTGCCTCCTGCCCTCATCGCATTAAAGAGAGAGTTTGTGCCACACACACACACAAACCAACAGTGCTCTTCCCCACCCCCAAATTCTATCTTCATCACATACAAATTTTACTTAAAAGAAATCACTGTAAACCAATGTTGAATTCTGGTTAAACACGTCAGCAGGCATATCCTTAGGGGTGAAGAGTATTGATGTCTGTCTTACTTTGAAATACATCCAAAAAAATTAGATGGATTGATGAGTGAATCAAGAGATGGGTAATTGCATGGATATGTAATAAAGCAAGTAGAGTCAAATGTTATTTACAGAGTTTGGGTGGCTGGGGTACAGCTACTTACAGTTTGGGTTTTTTTTTCTTTTCTTTTCTCTCTGTTTGAATATTTCCCTAATATAATACTGAAAAGAATAGTTTCTTTAAAAAAAAAAAAGAAAGAAAAGAAAAAAACTATCTATAGAAAACATGATTATCTACCTTTTTTGATCATTCCATTGGGAAAAAAATATGTACCAATAATGAAGTGTTTTCTTTCATCTTTACCTAATTCTTTTGTCTTCCCCATCTTTTCTTCTTTGCAGACTAGTAGAGCACAAATACCGGTATTGGGCAAAGGCATTTAAAACTTAGGAGGAAATATGCCAGGCCATTCATTGTTCTCGTAAAATAGTTTGATCAGAGAAATCCAGCTGCAGTTGCCAACTATGAATATCCTATTTGACTCCATGTGAAATGCATCTATTCACCAAGGCATCTGCTGACGAGTTAACAGATGTTCAGTGAAGATATTGCCCATGAAGAATTTTGACTGTTTGGTTTTATGTTGTTTTGTTTCTTTCTCCAAGTTGAACTTTAGGGTAAGAAGATGAAACTCCACATAAACTAATGGACAGCAATGACAATTTGTGACAGAACTTACACGTCCAATCTTAAAGGACAGACATGTTTGTGGATTCTCTGAATGTGTTTCTCATTCCTTGTGATTGTAGCTGACAACTGTGGAGTGACTGGAAATTAGGAGAAAAGAGGAAGTTTTTTTTTTTTTACATGACTCATGTTCACCAAAAAAAAAACAAGCAGAAAGAGAAAAAAAAAAACAAACAAAAAAACCCCTAAAATATAATGTTAAGCCATTGTTGTCTACGATTTCACCTCAATTATTCCCTACTCATACGTAGCCTTTTTCTCCTTTATCATACATATCCGGAGCAGTATAAGTAGGATGTGTCCATAAATAGTGGAAGAGTTGTCAAAAATGGATCAAAATTATCTAACGAACTTCTTTTAAAATATCATTCTCAATCACTTAAAGTTTGAAAAGGAAATTTGACTTCAAAGTGATAGTAGAATTCAAGATTTTTGAGGCAGCAGTTCTATGGATAAATCTGATTTTTGTGACAAAACAAGTGAATTTCAATCTCATCAAACACTAGAACACAGGAGTAAATTCTTGCTAATATTTTAAATAAAAAACTAATATTCTGGCCCTTGCATCCTAAAGAAACAAAGCAAACCTTATTGCCCAGAATTCTGAAGCACAAATACTTGAATCAAAAAATAATAGGTTCCAAACTTGCCAAGCTTATGAAAGGAACATAATTTGTTTCTAATGAGTTTCCCCAAAGTGATAAAGGTTTGATTTTTGAATTATTCTTAGATATTTTTGGATACCTGTGTTCCTTAAATACCAGACCTGTTCACCCCTCTGCTCAATCAATGGTTACTCTGCTCAAACTTCGGATATCAAAGAGACTTAGGATGCCAGAAATTAAAAACCCTTTGCTGAATATCAAGACGATGTGTTCAGAAAAAAAGAAGACACTCTGGCATAGAGGCAGTGTGGGTTTAAAAAGTCTTTTGTCACTAGCAGCAGAGCTTCTTTCTCGAAAGATAAGAATAATGGGCTCAGTATTAGAAATGAGAACCATCCAAAGAAAACAATGTGGAAAGAGAATTGATATCCAGTGAATTGCTTACTATTTTTAAACAAATTATTCACTAAGTAAAACTGATTCCTCCACCCCCTTTGAAAAGCATTAAAACCTTGAATGTATTTTGTTAGACGAAGAGAACAAAAACTATATTTAAATCACTTTTAAAAGCACCACGTTTTCATTTGAACTTAGAAAAACACAGAAATACAAGCAGTTGTGAGTTATCCCGGAGGGCAGTGAGAATAACTCGTGGGAAGAAATGAAAGCAGAATCCCCCAAATCAGACAATGAAGAGCACATTGGATTATATAAATGATTAGAAGTACAACTTACCTCTTTGTGACGAGGTGCTTGTGGGTGCCGGACCCCAGCAGGGGTGAAGCCGTGATGATGAGTTAAGGCACATATCAGAGCTGAGAGTCTCACGCAAAACCCCCCCCCCCGAATACCAGACAGGTGTGTTTGAGACCTTCCTTCCTCCCCAGGGGTTGTCATACCTCTGAGCCCTACCTGAGGCAAAAGACTCAGACACACCACTGATTGGCGGGGACCCACATGCCATCTTTCTGCTATTGGAAGGAAAATTCCCAAAAGTCATCGTGCCTATTAAGTGGCGAGAGTCTGTTCTCCAGGGGGGATTTGTGATCCATGCCACCCTTTCGGGATGGCACAACTGCCCTCAGACCAACAGGGCAGCAGGTTGGAGAAATGCTTCCCCAGGAGCACAGACCTCTCCACACTGAGCACACACAGACAAACCCAGAGTCGCCCGAGAGCTTCGCTCCGTCGCTGGCGCGAGCCCACAGGATCCCAGGGAGGGCTGGGGTTATCACCGGCCGTGCCACCTGGGCTGCTTTTCAGTCTGGGCGGTTTGTAACACACCACACCAAGATGACAGCTCCCCGGAAGGATTTCTAACCTGGAAGCAGACGGGGGTGTCCCTTCATCTTGGCTGCGTTACTCAGCTACTCTCAGAACAGAATCTTTCCTCCCTCCTGATAAACACATGCTCGCGTGTACTAAACAAAGAAGGTGTCTAAATTAACAAGTCAATGCTGTCCCCTAACAAAGAATAAACCCCGTCTCATGAGAGGCTCACCATTCTCCCCAAACAGGAATATAGGATAGTGGCATTAGGGAAAAAAAAAAGATGCAAAAATGCAAACCATTTGAAAGAGACATTGTAACCTAAGAGGCTGCTCTTTGCTGGTCTCTCGGAGGTAACTAGGACACACGCCACCCCACTTTTGTTCCAGCGCGAGATAGATCCTCGGATGCCGGGCATGGTGACATACAATGGGAGTTAAAACCACAGTCAGTCTTAGCAAATTAGGTAAATTAGAGATCATCTGATGGCATTCTATTGTTGCTATCGTAATCACCGTCATTTTCCCCCCCGTAATGGGGCTTGGGGACGGAAGCTCAGCTCTCTCACAGGATAACGGTGAAAGGTGTCCAAAGACTCAGGGATGCAGCATCTGCTTTTAAAAGCTCTTCAGACTCAAATTGGCATTTTACTTTATCTTGAAAATTTATTAGAGATTCAGATCATGCCGGTTTAAATGGAAAGGTGAAAGCAGGGTAATTTCAATCTATGAATTATTCAGTCTCAGCCCGGCGAAATTGCCATCCACACACTGATGCCCTGACGGTCCCCTTGCAGGGCCCCCATCACGGTTGTCATTTTTATTTCTTTATCTAAGATCTCTTTCTCGATAACCGAGCTTGTCCCTTAGGGCTCGGCTTCACAAACCCAGTATTTCAAATTGGCAATAACCTAAATGCACTGCTGTCTCAAATTGCTGTCTCCACAGGCTGTCTCCGCCCCCCCTCCATCATTAAAAACCACATCCATGATGATATCTGTTTGGCTCTTCGATCAGGTGATTTAAAATATGCCACACACACACATACACACACGCATGCACGCACACACACAGAGGCATCATTGCGGAGAAGAGTTATGTTCTGCTAACATCACAAGAGAAGACAGAGTGCTGCTTCCTGCTTTGTTGCCTGCCGTCCCACCCTAGCTGCACAGTGTCCTGCAGGAGACAGCCAGTGCTAACCAGGATCTGCCCAGCACCCTGATTTCCAGCCAGAGTTGCCGGGGACTGCATGGCGGGAAGACTCATCCAGATCACTGTACGCTTAGCGATCATGATTATTTAGGAAAAATTAGAAGAAGCCATCAGAGGACCAACAATAGACTGTCACTCTCTCAGTCTCCACCTGCAGACTGTAGTCACCGTGTTCTCCACTCGATGGCTGGTGGCATCGCAGCTAGTCGACAGCTGTCCCGCATCCAGAGAGGACTGGGATTGATTTAGGTCAGTGAGTCTGGTTTCTCTTTTAAACCGCGTTCTAACTGATTAGTGAGGATCGCGCCAGCCCCGTGACCAGCCTCAAATGTGATCCGGGGAGTCCCGCAGCGGCCATGAAGTGAGTCGCCCAGGCCCCAGCCAGACACACGGTGGCAGGCACCCTTGCTTTGTCCTAGCCTTTACTCAGAAGCCCCCACACTGTTCACACACGTGGTGGAGAGCCTGCCGTGTCCCGTCACAGGCACTTTGGTTATGGGGTCCCCCCGAGCAGTACCTGCCCAGCTGAAAATTCACGCGGCCAAGTTAGAAGCCCCCGTGCGCATTCAGACTGCATCTCTGCTCCTGGCTACGGGAAGGTAAATGATCCTCGTGTGAAAACTGCTAAGTAGTAGCAGGAAAATGGAGCTTTAAAACTCGGTCGCCTCGTGCCCAGTTGGATGCCTCTGCTGTGGCAGTGCGACCAGGAGACTGTGGAGCCGGGCTGGCATGCAGCAATGACAGAGCAGTCAGCTGACTCGCAAGGAGTCATCATTCAGTGTCCTCTGCAGAATCAGGCCAGTGGCTAAGGTGGCACCAGACGGATGACATGGAAGGCGAGGAGCGACTACAGGACAGGGGTCACCTCCTGTCCCCCACCCTGGCAGGTGCCTCAGGCACTGCTTTGGGTGGCCGGAGCCTTAACTCAGAGCCTTCCAGACTTAACTGTTTCTGTGCTGTGTGCGAAGATGGCAGGTCATTATTTAGGTGACCCTTCCAATGAGGAACCCAGGTTAAAACCATCACTGTCCCTACTGTTTGGGTTCATTTCAGGGTCACAAGAATAATTCTGGGAGAATTCTTGCCCAGATTTTGGTTTTAAAAGCACACTTCTTTTTATTTTATTTTTTTTCCTTTTTGACAGGTAGAAGTTGCCTTAAGATACTGGTAAGCTGCAATGAACTAGTCGATTGTACCTAACAGGATGGTAAGAGCAGTAGGGAAGACCCCAAGGTAAAGGGGTGCAGCTGTGGCCTTAAATCACCGTTGGTGGCTCTAACAGTGGAGAGCATGCTCGGTTGTGGCACATGGTGGTGCACCCCCATTAATCTGACAATGGAGCAGAAGCCTTATGTGGTATTGCCCCAGTGGTTTGAGGAATTGCTAAAATAAGAAGTCAGTCATTACCAGGCATTTGTTTAATGGCTGTAATCATGCTGACTTAATTTAACTTGATGCAATGTTTAACAGAGAGACAATTATAAATTTGTACTAAAAACAATAACAATGCTAGTATTTGCCTAGCACCTTGCTCTAAGGAGGCATCCTCTGAAGGTTGCCTCATGTCCCTGTGATTTCCAGAGCCCTCGGAATGTGCTAAGGGCTCTGTGGACCAGCACCCGAGGACAGGTGCTTATGATTCTGAGCCAGGGTCACATCTACACGTTGCATGAAGAGCTTGCACAGGATCTCTCCTGGACTCCGCCAGGCTTCTCACTGTAGGAGGTTTTCAGTGACTTTTTTCATTTCTCTCTTAGGAATTTTATTTTTCAGTTTGCTTCTCATTTAGTTCTATTGACATGACTTCCACTTGAAAGAGAAAATTTCTAGATAGTAAACAGAAAGGTCAAAACTAGACGAAAGCCAGACACCGTGGTGCACGTCTTTAATCCCAGCGGTTGGGGAGGCTGAGGCTGGAGGATTGCAAGTTCCAGGTCAGCCTTAGCAACTTAGCAAGACCGTGTCTCATTTTTTTTTTTAATTTACCTCAGTGGTAAAGCATACCCGAGTTCAATCACCAGTACCAAAAGATAAAAAATAACTTTAAAAACATAAATTAAGAAATTAAAATACAAAGAAGGGAGTAGGAAATGGATAACACGTTTTATGAAAGAAAGTCAACTGAAACTACATGGCTGATATATTTCAGCTGATTTCATGTATTTATGCAGAAGAATAAAGCACGTATTTTGTTTTTCCCTTGCATTTTGCAAGGAGAGGCCAGAGAGGATGTGGCTTCCAATGCCTCTTCTGGTTTGGATCTTAACTATCTCCCAAAGTTCGTGTGTTGGGGACTTGGTCCTGGGGGAATGGTGCCACTGGGAGGTGGTGGCACTACTTCAGGTGTGGCCTAGTGGGAGGAAGTTAGGCTATGGGGGACGTGCCCTGGAAGGACACCTTGTGGTCACCCCACCCCATCCCTACTCCTAGGCCATCATGTGAGTAGCTTTGCTCCATCACACGCTTCTGCCTGTAATGCTCGGCCTCATGGAGCCCCTGAGGGTCGGAGCCCAGTAGCCCTGGAGCAGAGCCTCTGAAACCATGGGCCAAACACAACACCTCTGCAGGAAACCTGCCTTCTTCTGCACAGATAAGGGGGAAATCCCTTTGTTCAGCCTTCTGGAGCCCTCCATTCTGATTTATTTTATTTGTATTTAATTAACTTACTGTTTGCCACATATTCTCTGGCCACCTTGTGAAGTCTATGGATCATTCTGATAATGTTTTCTAGGCCCATGCAGTACGGTCAGTAGAGTTACAAAGGAAGCTAATTATATTAGATATCTTGCTTAAGAACCTTCTCCTTAGTCAATCAAAGCACTTCCAAGGTGAAATTGCAAAGTCTCTCTGTCCCAAGGATCACTCGATAAGGAAGCAAGCTCAAGAAGAACCCAGGCAAGAGGAGGGGTCAGAAGGAGGCTAGAAGATTAGAGTTAATGGACTTCATTAAGCTGAACACTGAATTGTGTTTTTAAAATACCTCTATTTTTATTTATTTATTTCTTATGTGGTGCTGAGGATCCAACCCAGTGCCTCACATGTGCAAGGCAAGCGCTCTGCCACTAAGCCACAGTCCCAGCCCTGAATGTGTTTCTTACAGAGATCTTTTGGGGGGACCAGCAGATTACAATTATCCCAAGACATACTCTACTTTCCAAACTGATTAATTCACATGGCACAGACTCTTCGCCAGGCTCCTTAGGTGCAGAGTGTGGAGGAATTGATTCTTTCAGCTTTTACAGCTGCGGGGGGGGGGGGGGGGACTGAAGCCCAGAAAAGGATGAGTCTCGCTGTAGCACCATGCAGACAGAGGGGCAGCAGGCCCAAGATGTCTCCTAACCCACATCAGACTCCCTTCTATCATACTGACAGTCAGTGGCATGCTGGGACCGGCTGATGACAAATTTCTTGTCTTTTTTTTTTTTTGGTACCTGAGATTGAACCCGGGGTGGGGGCCTCAACCACTGAGCCACATCCCAAGCCCCTTTTATATATTTTTAGAGACAGGGTCTCACTAAATTGCTGAGGCTGGCTTTGAACCCACAGTCTTCCTGTCTTGGCCTCCTGAGCCACTGGGATTACAGCAAGAGAGAATTCTAAAGTATTCTGAATTCTACTCAGGGCTACCCCATTGACAGCTAGAAATCGACTCCATAAATGATACCATACAATTATTTACATAAAGCTTTCTTAGGTGTTGTAAGTAATCTAGGGGTGATTAAAAGGACATGGGAGAATGGACACTAGTATCACACCATTTCACTGAAGAGACTTGAGCATAGAGGCTCTTGGTCTCCATGGGGATCCTAGAATTCCCCACGCCCACTGGTAGACACCCTCATGGATTCGGGGTCGCTATGGGCAGAACTTAGCTTCGCCTCTCACCCCACAGCCCGTTCCTGTTCACACTTGTGGACTCTGGTCAATTTGCCCACCTGCCCAGACCCACTGTGTATTCAGAGCTAAAGTTCCCCTGTAGGGAGACTGAACCTCAGGAGGAGAAGCTTTGCCTAGAGGTTCCAGAGGTCACGGTCCCCAGAGGGCAAGGGGTTGGGAGGTCAAGTGGGCTCTGCTGGGGGTTAGGAGACACCAGATCCGCCTTCCCCCTGGCCTCAGGGTGGCAAGTGCGTGGGCCCCACAGGTTGTGTCCCTGCCCTTTGGCTTCTCTATAGTGTCAATGAAGGTAGAGCCATCCCCACAGGGAGAGGGCAGAGAAGCAGCTGAGAGGGGGTGCAGAACTCCCTAACTTCCATCCATCTGGCCATCCACCAAGAGAAAAGAGAAGCAAGGTCAGCACCTCGGTCTCTGGGCTTCAAGCAGGGCCCTGCAGGAGAACACAGGCAAAGCTGGGTGGTCCGATGTAGACCACGACCGAGCATCACAGGCGGCAAGTTCTACAGGTTGAGAGAGGCCGCGGGCGCCCTGCTCTCCTGCTCCTCCTCTCCTGCTCCATCCTGGGGCAGGTTGTAGATCCCCTGCCCAGCCCATCCAGGCTGGCTCATTCTGAGACCTCACAGTCCACTCCCCAACACAGCATCAGATGTGACAACAGGCGCTCGCTATGTGGCCAGACCATGGCCCAAGAGACACCAGCCTCCCAGCACCTGCAAGAAGAAGACGTTGGAAATCAGATACCAACTCTGTATAATAACAGAACTGCAAAAAGAATACATTCACTGTTTACCAAGTGTCTATAAGGTGCCAGGTGCACATGATAATCTTAGTATTCCCCCATAATAAATGCAGTAATAAGTCCACGTAAAGGGCTTTCTCTCTTTTTTTTTTCCCCAAAATGATTGAGGTATGCCTGACAAAAGCGTGCATATTTAAGTTGTTCAATGTGATGCTGTGACATACACATACATTGTGAAATGGTTGCCACAGTCAAGCCGATTAACATCCCCGTCAGCTCCCACAATTATCATAGTAGTAACCCATTTAATTCCTACAACAACCCGGTAAGGAAGATACCATTACTATTTCCACAATGGCTCCATTAGTTAGGTATTTCTATGCCCCTTCACATAAAACCAAAAGATTGAAGAAGTGAATATTGGTCAAATCATACATCTGGTGAAGTAGGCTAGTGGATTCAAACCTAGGCGTGTTTAATTTGGGTTCAAACTCAAATCTTGTTCTCTTAACCATTACTGTTCAAATATAGGCTTCCTAAAAATTAGTGTTTAGTTGTAATAGTCTCTAAGTGGGATGGAAAAAAAAACCTAGAGAAGGAAGGAAAAATAAAAACTAGACTTAGGAGTCACTTGGACAAGGTGTAAAATTTGAGTTGTGAGTAGAGAGACCTGTCCATCAGAAAGTTGGGTCTCTTTATTATGGTCCTCTTTTAAGGATATTTGACTTCAGTACCAGGCTAGTAAGTTGGCTGCCTGAGTCAGAGGGAAGCCTGGTTTGCAGGCTCCTGTTGTGACTGAGTTCAGGATCCCAACAGTTTAATAATCTGTTAAATTGCTGGATATTTTGCAGTTAGCTCTTGCACATCAATAGGAGGTAGCTCGGCACAAACAGTTTGGGCTAAAGTAGCCAATAATTCTGCCATTTGCAGAAGCCATGTCATCTTATAACACCTGGCCCTTACATCCGTGAGTTCCGAATTTGCAGATTCAACCAACTGTAGATCAAAAACATTAGAAAAAAATTTTCTGTACTAAATACACACTGTTTATTCAGGTTCCCCCCCCACACACACACACTGTAATCAAACGACCTGACAAGAATATTTAGAGGAGGAATAGTTTATTTGGTCTCAGTTCATAGATGGCTGAATCCATTGCTCTGGGCCCAAGATGAGGCAGACCATCATGGCGGAAAGATGTGGTGAAGGGAAGCAGCTCAAGACATGGCAATCAGGAAGCAGAGAGAGACTAAGTTTGGCCCACCAAGGACAAAATGTATACCCCAAAGGCACATACCCAGTTCACACCCCCTCCAGCCACAACGCACCCACCTACAGTTACCACCCAATTAACCATTCAAGTGAACTGGTGCACTGAGTAGATTAAGACTCTCATAACCAGATAATTTCACCTCTAAACCTTCTTGCATTTTCTCATATATGAGCTTTTGGAGGCTAACTCACACCTAAACCATAACAAACACAGACCTTTCTTCTTGTCATTAATTCCAAACAATATAAAAAACTGCTTAATAGTATTTATGACACATTCTATTAGTTATTATAAATAGTCTAGAGCTGATTTAAAGTACATTGGAGGATGATGTGTGTAGGGTGTACACAAATAATACCTTATTTTATGTGAGGGACTTGTATGTCCACAGATTTTGTTATCTTCAAGGGGGTCCTGGAACCATCCCCCATAGACACCAAGGGATAGTTCATGTTCAAGGTAGATTTTTACCAGACACAGGGTTCTCTGGCCTGTAATGGCCTTAGGTAGTCTCTAGTATCTTTTGTGCTGTCTTTTCTAAACTTTGTACTTTTACTCCTAGTATTTAATGATGATGTTTTTACTTACATTTTTCTTGATTTTAAAAGAAAATTGAAATATTTGTTTCTTTTCACTTGACCATGGACCAAATCTAACCAATATGAGTTACTTTTTAAATGGAATGGTCCTGAATTGACTGGGTGAAGGTTTCTTCAGCCTAGTGAAGTCAGTCACCTATGGGAGAGCTGAGGAGCTTGCAGCGTGTGTATACGTACCTACGTACACACACACATACACACACACATACACACACGTGCATTCAACAGTGTTTACTGCAAACCCTGTACAAGTCAAGAGCATGTGAAAATACATAACACTCGCCATGACGGGTTTGCGCCTATTCCTAAGAGCTTTCCCACGGTTTAGCCCTGCACAAAATTTCGAGGACCCAACAGCCATGAAAGGCACCCTATAAGTGTGTGATTACCATGCGGTCGTGATATGAATTCAGAGCTAGCAAATTAAATGGCAATTACCCTTTGAGAAGCCATGTAACTCTAAAGATAATCACCATGTTCCTATGTAGTTCTTTTTAGATCTTTGGGGGTGCTAATTTGTAAAGCACATATGACCAAATGAATAATTACAGAGCAAGGGGCTGAAAGGTAATTGCAAAATAATTGCATGCTACTTGATCCCTCTATGAAAACATGCTTAATAGAATAGTCACCTAAACGATTTCTTTTGCCTGAGGAACACTTTCAGGCTATTCTTTCCCCCTTAACTCTGTTTTGCACTAAGCCATAAGCCTTCTAAATAATATTGTTTGGTAAAATACACTAAAGTATAGGCTGTAAGTATAGGTTTAAAAACTAGGTTATAGAGCTTGTTTTCTCCCCGCTACATTGTGTAAATGTTATTAGCTTTTAAAAGTTGGTTGTTGAATGCAGTCTATCTTTGGACAAATACACAGTGGTGTCAGGTTTTGTTTATTTAATGTACGGCTCTTTCCAGCATCTGGACATGCTGGGAATTGTTCTCCAGGTATTACCAGTTCCATATTCTAATGGTTACATTTCTCTCTCTCTCTCTCTCTCTCTCTCTCTCTCTCTCTCTCTCTCTCTCTCTCTCTCCTCTCAGTTCACTCAAGGAATGGAAATTAATGGAGGGTCCGAGATGAGATTAAATGAGCATGTGTGTGCAGCGTGGGAGAGAAATCCTGGAGCTGGGAGACAGGAGACACTGTGTAAGTGGCTTCCGCCTCCATCTCAGGCTTATACATTTCAAGCTGGGAATGAAAACACTTGCAAGTAAAGCACACAAATGTATAATGCATGAGAATGTGCTTTTAAAAGTTTTAAAGTGCTATTTTAAAATGTAAGCACTGATATGATAGTGGTCACTAACAGTTGGAGGAATTCTGTCCATCTAAGAGTCTAGTCACGTGCCATTACTCATCTCCCTCGCATTGCTGCCGGACCCTGCCTCTCCATCCGTACTTTATTTAGCAATTTCTTTCTCTAATCATGCTCAGCAGTTGGCCAAGAGCCAAAAGTTGCAAGAAGACCAATAACTATCAGGTAGAAATTATTCTCTGCATCTTCACAAAATATTAAGTTCACTTCCTCTTTTAGGGTTATCCTCGAAGGCTATTGCTCCCTACAACTGCTGCTTACAGAAGTGATCTAACAGTTAAAATCAGCACAACTTAGGACTTTGAGATGGTAAAGTTTAGAAGTGTAAATTTAATGTACATGTAATTAATACTTAGGTCCATACTCTGTGAAGCTCTCTACTTCCAAAATGTTTTGCCAAAGTGATTCAAGTGTGTTCCATTTTCAAGGGACATGGTACTGGACATGACAATCCAAGGCAGATGACAATCCAGGGACAGACGCAGATAATGGATTTTCTTTGCTTAGATCCTTTCTGCCACTCGTGCCTATGCCTCTGATAATCCAAAAGTGATAACCACCGTTATCACTCAACGCACCACTATTCCCATGATAAGTCAAAGACGGCGACAGCCACCAAAAGTATTGCCTGAGTGTCAAAGATCCAAAGCAGCAAGCCTTCTCGGGTTAAGAATAATGTGATGAGAAAACTAGTAGCAAGCTAGTAAAATTACGCCGAGCTCAGGTTCACAGTGTGATGATGAATTAAAAGTTCTGTTGATTTGTAGGAGAGCACATTGGCGAAAACCAGACTTCCTAATGGATTTATGAACGTCTTCTGGATGCACATGAGATAAGAGAGCAGCCCTTAAGATACAAGCATCTGGTCTGCAAACTTCTTATAAAGACAGATATCACTGAGGAGGAACTTGTATTTGGCAATTGCTGGGGATTTGGATACGACTCGTGGGAATTGAGAAGATGAAAAGAGAGAGTGCAAGGAGCCTGGGTTGGATGCTCTGAAGAGGAAGGTCAGTAAGGACTCCTCAGAAACAGCGAATGAGACACACATTCTACAAATGGGGCTCTGTGGGGTTACCTACTTAGGTGGGAACCTGAATAAATTTACTGGCTGGAGAAAAAACAAATAAAATGTGTTATGTTGTAGATATGGGCTACAGAAGGGTAAGTGATAGAATTCCAGAGACAGACGGTGAGCAGACTTCTTATCCTCAGAGACAGGCAAAGGTGGCATGGGTGTAGGAAGGAGCTCTCCGTCCCTGTCTGTGTGTGGGTTCTAGAATTGATTGCAATGTTGCACATGTGTTCTGATCAAAAAAGACAGTGACATAAAGATTTTGATACTTTTAATATAGTTCAAGATCTAGTAAGCTTTTTAGTTAATAGATCACTTTTCCTTGGGGAATACTATAACATAGAGGTCATCAATAAGAGCTCTAGGATTAGGTTCCAGTCTTGATTTGCCCACCTACCAACTGGAGGCCTTGGTCAGATTACTTAAAATTCTTAGTTTTATCAAAGATAAAATGTGGGTTATAATAATAATATATCCATCTCGGAATCCTAAATTACCTAACAGTATACATTCAAGAAATGTCAGATATTCTTTTGATTGCTGATAATACTGCTGTATACGTTAAAGTTAATGAACATTTTTATAGGGTGCTCTTGAGAAACATTTCTCCCATCCTGTCTGAAATTCTTTCTATCAATTGATCCTTCTATCTCTCATGCGTCCAACTGGATAGTTCCGCCTCCGGGGCAAGACTGTAATTCAACCTTCTTGAATCCTGCATGTTAGATTCATCCTGTTATTCTATCCTTCCCAGGTCTTTCTGAGTTCTCTTATCATCCAAGGTATTTCTTGTCTTCCCTACCTGAGTCCCCCGGACAGCCTTAGCTAATGCACACCTGATAACTACCCTCAGCTTCTTCCTTACTGACAAATCATTGGTTCTACTGTAGCAATGGATCCAGTGAAGGTGCTTTCTCTCCCAGCCTCCCCAGCAGCTAGGAGTGGGCATGAGATGTAGATCTGACCATGTGGCAAAAGCAGAAGTCACTGGGCGGGCCTCCCGGTAAGTTCGTGAAAGAGGCCAGACCTGAGAGAATGAAAATCAGATTCCAAGAAGACGGAACTGAGGCCTGAGGCTGTGTGGAGCTGCTGGCTGCCCCTCCTGGGACCCCCAAACTCCTTGCCATGTGCTAGAAACAACTCCTCTTTGATGAGACCTCTCTCACCAGGTTTCCAGCCCATTTAGCAAGTGCAGTTCTTCCAACCTGTCCCCAATGCCAACTATGTAGTTGCCTCAAAATATTTAAGGAACAAGAAACCTGAAGAGAACAGAAATAAAGACAGAACACAGGGTGCGCAGTCACCAACCACGCTGCAGGTGTTCTACACCATGACCTTACGTGCTGCACACTGGCACATCAGCCAGCAATTGCTTGGCCCGTGCTGGCCTTGCCCCTGTTATTAGGTGGGGCGCAGGCTGTGTCTTTTTTCTGTCTAATTGACATAGCGCCTGTCCTTGTTCTGGATGGAAGGTAGGTGTTCCGTGTAAATTTGCAAAACTTAGAGCAGCCTTGCCAAGATCTTCTCCTGGGACCGAGGAGGAAACTGGGGCTCCAGGGCCTCGTCCCAACTCAGTCCAGAGTCCTGGGGCTGGATGCACGTTCACGTTCTCATAGCCAGTGGTGATGACGCTGCCCCATGCTGTTTGGACAACTCCAACAGATCTTCCTTGTATGTGACATTATCTCTTTGTGTATACCTTTATTTCATTCATTTATTTGTAAGTGGTGCTGAGGGTCAAACCCAGTGCCTCACATGTGCTAGGCAAGTGCTCCACCACTGAGCCACGACCCCAGCCCCTTACATTATCTCCTTAAGACCTCCCTTTACCTTTCCCCGAATCACATCATCAACCTTTCCAATATCCTCGGGCATGAATGAGGATTAAAGGAAGGTTTTGTTTTTCAGGTCACTAGGGCCCTGAGTGTCCTGCTCACAATCACGGGAAACCAGAAGAAGTAATGAAGGAACACTCAAAGGCGGTTGGCAACGTGAGCGGCCACAGTGCCGTAAAGGAAATAGACAGATCAAGGGTCCCCCATTCCCCTTTGGATTCCAGATGGGTCACATAAGCTTTGCACCCACGGCTGGGACCTCAGGATGAAAGGCTCGTCCCTATTAACAGCTGTCACTCCAAGTGGCAAACAGCTTGTAAATTTCTGGGCAGTACTGCGTAAACATTTCCTTGATATTTCATAACTCCTCACTCCCTCCAACGGCTGCAGCTGCCGCACGGCAGACACAGGGCAAGATTAGATACGGTGTTTGCACCTGGCCAGCCATAAACTTTCTTAGTTGCATGCAAAGGTTGACAGGCCCCATTCCTTCTCTCCTCGGATCCAGAGTCCTGAAACATGAAAGAGAGCTGTGACCACTCACAAACAATAAAGACATCTGTGGCGTGTATGAGATGAATGGATTTATTTGCCTACTCAGAGTGGAAGTCGACATTTTCCTGGTTGTGCTTAGGGACGCCTCCTCCCTTGGCCTTTGTGTTTGAGTGTTAGACTGCAGGTTCCTTTCCATCAGTGTGAGGGGTGCGCTGGGGACCAATGTGGGCTCTGGGTGCTCCTTAGCCAGTCGAACCTGAGAAACCAGTACCTGCTCTTCCTCACTTTGCCTTGGTGATTTCTGCTACACCCCATTCCGGCCGGTTCTTCTCTTGCTGTTCTGGGTTTCCTGACCCAACACAGGTCCTGGGGTCGGAGAAGTGTAGCTGAGCTTGGGAAACGAGGCAGAGTTGGGCACATTTCACTGATCGTGCTGCAGGGCAGCCTGGCTGGCGGAAACCACCATTGCAGGGAGGCTTAGACCTGCCTCAATGCCGTGTGGTAATCTGAAAGCATTTAAAAAACAAAACAAAACTCAAGGACTCCATCTCAGCTGATGATTTGAATGTGCTCCTTTCCCACAAGCCCCAAGTCTACACTGCTGTTTCCCGGATGTTATGGCAACAGGATTCATTCCTAGAATCAAGTAATGTGACCATGAGTGAGAAGTTCCTCAGAGGCACACGAGGAACTTCTGTGACAGTGGGAACTTGTCACGTTAATGACAGTTTTTACTCTGAATTTTTAGTAGTTTCCAAACTTTTCACACGTGAGAGCCCATTTTTTTAATGTGATATTTCATTTTGATCTCTGTTCTTTGGGAAATCCCAACACTACCATGAAAGCGTCATATTTTCTATTTCCTTATCATTATAGTAGGTACTTATAGAAAACAGAGCACATGCCTTGCAATACTGTTTATTCTGTCATTGATGATACTCAGAGTAAATACAGATGCCAGGACTCCTAAACGTAACTCCAGGGTCTTCCAGGAGTTCAAGGCCCAGGTTATCAACATAGTTACCCTTTGAAAGAGGCAATGATCCTAGCAGGGACTTAAAAAGAAGGCTATTTACATCATCTTGGGAAAACTTGCAGAGTGAGATGCTTTTGTACACCACATTCTATAGCACAAAAGGAGAGGAGTTTGGGGGAGACAGCTTCTGAATGCCCAGTGACATCTTTAGCAGCCAACCTATGAGTACTGTGCTCTTTAACAGACCAATGCAATTACATAACATTTCTAATCAGCTTAATTTTTTTTAAATCTTCTTGTAGTGCATAACCCTTAGCTAGTGTTATCAGTGCATTAGTGGTAAGAGCTACTCTTGAAAATCCCTATTTAGTAAAACTACATTAGGTAAAATATGGTTCTGATGAGCAATCTGATTTAATTTTTGTATGAGATTAACATATTGAGCTATCCTCTCTCATTTTAAAATCATGTTCTCTCTACTTAGACCTGCAAAATAGTCTTCAGGTAATTGGATAGGCATTAAAAGGTATTTCTAGTTTCATTTGCCCTTTTGATGTGAATAAGCAATTGTTCCTAAATGGTTCCAAATTCACATCTTAAAACAGGAAGCGGAATTCCAGGTTAAGTTACAGTCCTTTCTTCTCTTAAAAAAAAAAGTGGGGGAAAGAATGCACCTTATCTCATTTTCCAGCAATTCTCAACTGTTTATATTTTCTCCTGGGAGTCTACTCTTCCCAACGAATGTGTATTTGGTTTGTAGTCTAACCACCTGACGTTTTCACTGGGTGAGAAGAAATGAGAGGATCAGTCTTCCACATAAGCCCACCTCTTCCCAGGATAACCTGATCTAGATAGCAAACTCAGAACCAAAAATGACAACCTCTGGGAGGTAACCCCAAGGCCGTGCATCTCAAAGAACACTCCAAGACTGCACGGGGTGCCCAGTACAAGAACAGTGGGGGCCATGGGCAGGAAAGACACACATTCCCATGCAGAGTTTATACAGCTGAATAGAAACCTCACTAAGCAGCCAGAGGTCTTGATAACCTCTCCTGGTTCACGGCCCAGAGAGGCCGTGAAAACCAAAGTCCACTGACATGAATTCAACTGACCCGCCAACATCTAATGGCTACACATCTAGGCAGATCTCCAAATGGCGTGAAAGTCAAGGCTTCACTCAGTCCTGTCTGAGCACCTGGTTGCCATCTCCACATATGACCAACCCCCTCTCCCTGGAGCCCACCTCTGAGCTACTCTGCCCAGATTTGCATCCAGGTGCAATTCAATTCAAGGGAATCCTTGGTCCAAATATGCAAATCATTGTTGCAAGATCTAAATTCTTTTGCTCTAGGACTATAGAGGCTGGTCTCTAGGAAAATTTATATTTTGACTGGTAAGAGAGACATAGCCATGGGTTATAGAAATGAAGACACAGAGAGATCCTTACAAATCAAAAAACAAATGAGACACAAATGTACTCTATTAACTGTCCATGTTTTTTGAAGCAGGAAGAGACTAGAATTTAGAATGCTGAAGCGCATCCAACTCAAAAGGGGCAAAAAATAATGTTTGTCAATTACAGCACAACTTGAGATGCAGACTGGATAATTAGCATCTCCGTTTATTGTGGCTTGTGGAAAGCTAGCTTGATTGAGTGCCTTTTCGATGATGCGTGAGAAAATGACTGTATTTTGGATTAAGAGTTCCATAGAGTTTGCACCTTAAGACAGCTTAGTTAGGAAGCCTCTTCCAGCTAATATTAGACCATTTTGAAAACATCTCCATGCAAATATTTTTAAATGACTTACTCAGACAACACAAGGCAATATTTTCTAGGGTATAAAAAAAAAGAAATAACATTTTCTCCAAATTTAGTTCCACGTATTTTCCTTTGGAAGTCCTGTGTTACTTCATTCTTTGGGTCTTTCTCTTTAATCAGACTGTTTTGATGCTGAGAAAACAAATTATCTAGCACCAGTGAGGCGGATGAGTTTGAGGACAATAAAGAAGGACAGGGCAGTATCACCAGCAATCTGAGAGGTGGAGAGGCAAGAACCCTGGCTACCAAGGACACAAACTTGTGTAAAGACCAACGTCACCTACCCCTGATCCCTAAGGTTGATCTGGACATCTGTCCGTGCCCCCAAACGCAGAGAGTCTTATCTCAGAACTTTGAGGCTGCGCATTAGCCCTGCGCACACCTGGGCACTCCACATATGGAACTAGAAGAGAGAAATCTTCCTGGGAGATGCGGCTCCTGAAGCAGTTTGCAGAACCCCT